GCCCCAGGATTGGTCGGTTCCAGAGTAGGAATGTGGGAGTGGGTCTGTGTGTGTGTGTGTGTGTGTGTGTGTGTGTGCGCGCGCGCGTGTGTCCCCATGGTGGGAGTGGGAATGTGTGTCCATGATGGGCGTGTGTGTCTGCAAGTGTGTGTGTGTCCACGGGGACGGGGGAGGGAACCCTGGGCAGTCAAGGCTCCGCCCTCTCGAGCTAGAGGCCTTGGCACAGCACAAAGGCAGGGGCGCGCTCCGCTCCGGGGAATCCAGGCCAGGCAGTGGCGGCAGCCACAGAGCCGCCCTCGCGCTCAGCCAATGGGCGGGCGTGCTGCCGCGGCGCTGGCCCCGCCCCCGGGTGTGCGAGGTCTGGGGGCCCAGCTACCCCGACTCGCTATCTGGCAGTGGCCGCCTTTAGGCGGTTGAGGCCAGAGGAGGGGGCGCTCTGGGAGGGCCCCTCGTGGCCGCAGACCCTGAAGGGCGAGCCTGCCACGGTTGGACCTTTGGAAAAAGCTAGGGAAAAGGAGAAACCGAGCGTGCAAGGGCGCATCAAGCATGCACCGGGGTGGCTGAGGCTGCACGCGGCGCTGGGCGTGTGCCCGGGAGGAGATCGGGTCACTGCGTGGCAGCGCCCGGGACGGCCGAGGGGCGACCTGACCCCAGGCCTCCCTCGGGAGGAGCCCACAAAGGGGCAGCGGCTCACGAGGGTCACACAGCAGAATTCCCCGCATTGCAGGGGGTAGGGTCCGCACCTCTGGACTCCCCCGGGCCAGTGCATCCTGTATTCTCACCCACCACTCACCCAGAAAAACGAGAACCATACTCACAAATACAGTCTTAAAATCCACAGGCTGGCTACGTTTTTGGGGTGACCTCCAGCCCAGTGTTCCCCATGCATTTGAAAACTTGTGTGTCCCCAGTGAATTTGCAGTTCCAGTAAACCAAGGCAGCAAGTGCACATTCTCATTTAACATTCAGCCCCATAAATACACTTTTTTTGGTGGGGGCAGGTGTTCTCACTGTCGCCCCAGGTTGAAGTGCAGTGGTGTGATCATCCCTCACTGCAGCCTCAAACTCCTAGGCTCGAGCCATCCTCCCACTTCAGCCTCCCGAGTAGCTGGGACTACAGGTGTGCATCACTATGCCTGGCTAATTTTTTCTATTTTTTTGTAGACATAGGGACTCACTATGTTGCACAAGCTGGTCTAGAACTCCTGGCCTCAAGTGCTCTCCTGCCTCAGCCTCCCAAAGTATTGGGATTACAGGCATGAGCCTCTGCCCCAGCCTGAATACACTTTAAAATGTGTATTCTGTTTGCAGCACACATGGTGTTACACTGTGAGTTATGTTTATCTGTTCCCTACCCCAGGACACCCAGATCTGGCACCCTCTTGGCATTGGAATGCAGAAATGGATGGAGACCCCCTCCCTGCCCTTCCAGTATGCACAAGATACGTACCTCCCACGAAGGGAAGGATGGTGTCTGTCTTGCTTATTACAACATCCCAGAGCCATACACACAGTAGGTGCATAATAAATCTTATAGAAAAAAAAAATGCAGTGGGGTGGTGGGGGGGTTAGGTGACTGTTGCTTTATCACAGCAGAGGCAGAACAGTACGCGCAAATGTGTGAATCACTCAGGCTGCGTTCAGAGAACTATAAACAGTTCAGAGTTGATGAAGGGCAAAGTACAGGGTGAGAGGAACAGAAGATTAGACCAGAGAGGAAAGACAGGGAGCCAAGGGGCTTGGACTTTACCCCAACAGAGATGCCAAAGAAAGATGCCAGGCAGAAAGAACATCATCAGATTCATACTTGGGGGTCACTTTTCTGGCTTATGGTAGATGGATGAGGAAGGTGAGAGGCAGAGGAAACAGAAAAGAAGAGGCTGACTTCTGAAGCCATCAGGGAGGTGGAATTGTTGGGACTTATCTACTGGATCATGCCCAAGTTTCCACCTGGGGCAACTGGATATGACTCGTGAGAGAAACAGCAAACTGAAAAGACAGGTGCTCAGATGTGGACAATCTGGGTTTGAGGTGTGGAGTTCAAGATATAGAGGCTGCTCTTTGGAGGCTGAGGTGGGAGGATTGCTTGAGCCTAGGAGTTCAAGACCATCTTGGACAACATAGCAAGACCTCATCTCTTTAAAAATAATAATAATAATAATTAATAATTAGCTGGGCATAATGACACACGCATGTAGTTCCAGCTACTTGGGAGGCTGAGGCAGGAGGATTGCTTGAGCCTAGGAAGTTGAGGCTGCAGTGAGCTAGGATTGTGCCACTGTACTCCAGCCTGGGTAACACAATGAGACCTTGTCTCAACAACAACAACAAAAAAAAACATGTCTACATAAAAAATGGTTGTGTTTGTGATTACCTCAAACCACCCTGGCTTGCTCCAGAAAGCTACTTGCAGTAAGGTGCAAAAAAACCCTGCTTGTTGGGGACATTTTGGAAGTGTTTTTTTTGTTGTTGGTTTTTCTCATTCATGTAGGTAATACACATTTTATGTAATTTAGTACAGGCGTAACTTTTTAAAGGTTGTTGAGTTTCAACTTACTTATATTTCCTGCTTTTTGAGTCCATATACACTTTATAGGCTATTTAGAAATTACTGATCATGAGAGAGTGCAGCGTATGAGAGATAGGCATAGCTGTTCTCTGAGGCAAATTCAGAGCCTCAATTTCTGGTAAAAAAAAACAATCTAAATAAAAGTAACACTTAAATCAGTAAATGAAGTTATTTTTAATATTTCCAAAATTGTTAGTAGAGCTGTCTTTACAATTTTCTATGGATTTAAATGACATCTGTTTTGTTTTGCTGCCTTCCTGCCCTTCACCCACATTTGGCATTTCTCCCCAGGCTATCCCTCCCCAGCTCCCCGCCCCGCTGTCCCTCCCCATTCCCGCCAATAGACCCCGATGTGTAGTACTCCCTTCCCTGTGTCCATGTGTTCTCATTTTTCCTCATGACCGAATCTGTTTTTAATCTCGGAATTTTGGGAGGCCAAGGCAGGCAGATCACCTGAAGTCAGGAGTTCCAGACCAGCCTGGTCAACAGGGTGAAACCCCTTTTCTACTAAAAATACAACAATTAGCCAGGCACGATGGCGTGTGCCTGTAATCCTAGCTACTCTGAAGGCTGACGCAGGAGAATTACTTGAACACAGGAGACGGACGTTGCAGTGACCCGGATCACACCACTGCACTCTGGCCTGGGCAACCAAGTAAGACTCTGTCTCAATCAATCAATAATAAATAAATTATACCTGTTTTCATTCTTAATTTTATATACAATATTTGTTCTCTCCTCCTCCTTTGTCTTAGTTATTCTATTTTATTGATTCTTCCCTCTAAAACAGCACGGCCCAACCAACTTACAGCAGCGATACAGTGATAGAAGAGTTTTGGTTTTTTTCTTTTTTTATTTTTGAGATGGAGTCTTGCTCTTGTTGCCTAGGCTGGCTAGAGTCCAATGGCGTGATCTCACTCACTACAACCTCTGCCTCCCAGGTTCAAGAGCAATTCTCCTGCCTCAGCCACCCAAGTAGCTGGGATTACAGGCACCCACCGCTACGCCCAGCCAATTTTTGTATTTTTAGTAGAGATGGGGTTTCACCATGTTAGCCAGGCTGGTCTTGAACTCCTGACCTCATGATCTGTCTGCCTCAGCTTCATAGTGTTAGGATTACCTAGCACTATGCTACCTAGCACTAGGATTACCTAGCACATGCTAGGATTACCTAGTATGAGCCACCACGCCTAGCCTAGTGATGGAAAAGTTTTGTATCTATATTGTCCAATTCAGTAGTCACTAACCATCCACTGAGCACTGGGAACTTGGCTCATGTGACTGAGAAAATGATTTTCTAATTTAATTTTCACATGGTTTGGGGCCACCCTAGTGAGCAGCATAGCTCTAAAAGATCCAGCTGTTTTACTTTGTCAGTTCTTTTTGTTTTCTACTCAGTTTGTCTGTGCTAATTTATTATTTCCAATACTCATCTCATTTCTGTGATTTCTGTATATATTTTTAATAATAAAATGTCAAGCAAAATTTCTCTGTAATCATTTAAACTTCTGCCTTTCTCTCCATGACCACATCGTTGTCATCAATAGTGTATTCTTGCAGCACTCCAACTTAAGACTTACAGGTTGGTTTTTTGGTTTTGTTTTTCCTTTTTTTGGATAGAGTTGAGCTCTTGTCGCCCAGGCTAGAGTGCAATGGTGCGATCACGGCTCACTGCAACCTCCGCCTCCTGGACTCAAGTGATACTCCTACCTCAGCCTCCCAAGCAGCTGGGATTACATGCATGCGCCAACACGCTTGGCTAATTTTTGTGTTTTTGGTAGAGACAGGGTTTCACCATGTTGGCCAGGCTGGTCTCAAACTCCTGATCTCAGGTGATCTGCCATCCTTGACCTCCCAAAGTGCTGGGATTACAGACGTGAACCACCATTCCCAGCCCTTTTGGGTTTTTTTGTTTTTGTTTGTTTGGTTTTTATTTTCTTTTTAGTTATCAAGTGGTAGGAGTCTCTCGTGCATGCTTGTTCAGTTAAGCTTTTAAACATTAATTTTCAGTTATGCTTACTTGAAGCCAGAGATCACAGCCAGTACAACGTCTGATCTTTTGGAATGCATTAGTTTGGGGTTTTTTTTTTCTTTCTCAGATTTAACAGATGATTAATTTTTCTAAATATTCCAAGAGCACTTTAAAATGTAGGTTGTTTGCCGAGTGCAAAGTTCAGTCCTATCTGTTACCACAATCTGCTTAACCAGTTATCCAAACTTTTTCTTACATGTGTCTTATCTACAAGATCAAGGCTGTGTTGGCATCTTCAGGTTTCTCCTTGCGTTTCCAACAATTTGCTCTCCACAGTTTAATTCTATTCTAAGTGACCCTCAACTCATTAAAGGCCATCCCTTCAGATCTAGAACTAGACATACCATTTGACCCAGCAATCCCATTGAGTACATACTCAAAGGATTCTAAAACATTCAATTATAAAGACACATGCACACGTATGTTTATTGCAGCACTGTTCACAATAGCAACGACTTGGAACCAACCCAAATGCCCACCAAAGATAGGCTAAATGAAGAAAATCGTGGTATATATACACCATGGAATACTATGCAGCCAGAAAAAAGGATGAGTTCATGGTTTTTGCAGGGCCATGGATGAAGCTGGAACCATCATTCTCAGCAAATTGACACAAGAACAGAAAAGCAAACACCATATGTTCTCACTCATAAGTGGGTGTTGAACAATGAGAACACATGGATGTAGGGAGGGGAGCATCACACACCAGGGCCAGTCTGGGGGTGGGGGGCTATGGGAGGAATAGCAGGGGTTGGAGGGATTGGGGAGGGCTACATTAGGAACAATACCTAATATGGATGACGGGGGGATGGATGCAGCAAACCACCATGGCACATGTATACCTACGGAACAAACCTACACAATCTGCACATGTACCCCAGGACTTAAAGTATAATAACAAAGAAAAAAAGATCATCCCTTCAAACAATGCTAAAGCTCTCCCTCTCTTCCTGAAAATGCCTTGTGCCTTTGAATTCTTGGCTTATTTTTCTGTTTAAATTTAGCCAGGTGTTTAAGTTTTCTGTGTCATTTTTGGAATTAGGCATGACAATTTGACAATTTCCAAGTGGCAGAGAGAGAGAGAACCACAGCCTCCTTGGAAACAAGGAAGTGGGAACAGGATGAGAGAGTTTGGACTTGATCTCCGACGAGGGTCTGAATTGCAAGGCGGGTTTCCCTGGGGACAGTCTTAACCATAAGAAAGTTCAGCTCACATGACTGATGGCTTTTCAGTAACAAGGATATGGTGGTTTTGAACACCCACAGGTTGACGGTTTCCTGGGAGCTGCTGCGTGCATGAGCTGGCAGAGTCTAGGAACAGAGACAGGGAATGGAGAACATTTCCTCAACTCCTGAAGGACATGAGTCCACCTGAGGACGTACTGAATGTCTGCAGGGGCACCATGAAACAGAATCACAAGTCAGACAGAAATGCACCTATTTCAAATGCCATCGTGACAAAAGGGAGACAACTTGTAGCTTATTTCCTGATTCTGTGGGTTCCTAAAAGCCAGAATGACTGCTCTAATTTCTTTTTTCTTTTTTTTCCGGCGGGGGGAACAGAGTTTTGTTCCTGGGTGCAAGCTGGAGTGCAGTGGTGCAATCTTGGCTCACTGCAACCTCTGCCTCCCAGGTTCAAGGAATTCTTCTGCCTTAGCCTCCCAAGTAGCTGAGATTACAGGCTCCTCGCTCACTGCAACCTCTGCCTCCCAGGTTCAACAATTCTCCTGCCTCAGCCTCCTGAGTAGCAGGGATTACAGGTGCCCACCACCAAGCTCAGCTAATTTTATTTTATTTTGTATTTTTAGAAAAGACAGGATTTCACCATGTTGGCCAGGCTGGACTTGAAGTCTTGACTTCAGGTGATAGACCCGCCTCGGCCTCCCAATCTGCTGGTTTACAGCTGTGAGCCACAGCACGTGGCCTGGAATGACTGCGTTATTTTCCATTCTAGAAGTTATGAGAGGCTCTGTGTGTCATCTCCATGCCAGGAGCCTCATGGCCTTCTTTACCCAGGGTGGGCACTCCCTGTGTATACACTTCAGACACTGCTATTCTATTAGAAAAAAGTGTGAAGTTCTCTGATTAGGGGTGAGGTCCATTTCTTGCCCATGTGTATTTCAGCAAGAGAAAGGAGTAAGTTTTCCTCTGGATCCTCAGACTTCACTGGCTAATCAGCCCCACTTTGCAGCTCTTTGTCCATGGGAGCAAACAGCCCAGACACCTGGAACTTCCTGGCTCCACCTGGATTTATGCTACTGAGCCCGGGCACCTCTGCAGGGAAAATGCAAGAAGGAAAATAAAGATAAACGATGCTTCTCTATCAGACTGGCTGCTGGATATCATCGTGTAAGAAAGATGGGTAAAGCCGGGCATGGTGGCTCACGCCTGTAATCCTAACACTTTGGGAGGTCAAGGTGGGCAGATAAGTTGAGATCAGGAGTTCGAGACCAGCCTGGCCAACACAATAAAACTCCATCTCTACTAAAAATACAAAAATTATCTGGGTGTGATGGGAGGTGCATGTAATACTGGCTACTTGGGAGGCTGAGGCAGGAGAATCACTTGAATCCGGGAGACGGAGGTTACAGTGAGCCAAGATTGTACCACTGCACTCCAGCCTGACAAAAGTGAAACTCCATCTCAAAAAAACAAAGAAAAGAAAAAGTTTACTAGACAGCAAAACACCTCCGGTTGCTGGTCCCATCCTCTAGAATCCTCTAGTGGCCTCTGTCAACAGATCTGAGCGCCTACGGAGTGTCGGGCAGTATCTGAGCTCCAGATACAACCTGATGGTTAGAACAGACTGTTCCACAGCCTAAAGGGTAGACAGAGAGATCTCAGCACTGGGCCTGCAAGAACATTTCATTACAAATTGCTACCATGGTCCTGGCAAATTCACAGGGGGCTGAAATGCCTGGGTTGTTAATTTCCTCAGAAGGTTATTCTATAAAAGCCAACGTGTTACTTTCTTGCCTTGAACAACCAGAGAGCCAAATGCCAACTTTCTAACTGAGTTCTCACCTTCCTTTCTCATCTCTGTTATGCAATCAAGCTAAGGAAGAGATGGACAGCCTCAATGCCTGTCAGTCCCACAGCAGCCAGGCCTAAGATGGGGACAGTAGGAGTAGTCCAGAGAAATTTTACATTGTCCAAATCTGCTCTCTTGGCCTCCTGCAGTGGCTGTCTCATGCCAGTAATCCCAGCACTTTGGGACACTGAGGCCAGAGGATCACTTGAGGTCAGGAGTTCAAGACCAGCCTGGGCAACATGGCAAGACCTCCCCATCTCTACAAATAATACAAAAGTTAGGAGGGCATTGTGGTGGACACCTGTAGTCCCAGCTACTTGGGAGTCTGAGGTAGGAGGATGGATTAGTCAAAGTTGCAGTGAGCTATGATCCCATGACAGCACTGCAGCCTGGGTGACAGAGTGAGACACTGCCTGAGACTCTCCCATCAGACCTGCGAGCCACAGCTTCAATCATCAGCATGTGGAGTGCAAAAAAATCATGGCATCAGACAGACCTGAGTTTCAAGCAGACACAGCTACTTCCTGGTCACGTGGCTCGGCTTTATGTGCCTCAGTTTCCCTATATGCAGAAGGTAACCATTGCGGCCCCTTGGGCTAACTTGAGTTCTGGAGAGGACGATGCACAAAACATCACTCACAACTTTCTATATTTCATGGGGAAGACAGGGTTGGATGGATTCAACTAGGGGTTCCCCACACCTCCCCCTCCCATCCAGGGAATTGAGAGGCAGAGGCTCATTCTGTAACCCAGGCTGGAGTGTAGTGGGTGCGATCATAACTCACTGCAGCTGCACAGGAGGCAGAAATGCCCTCCAGGATCCCACAGCTGAGTCCCGGAAGATCATGGCCAGACACCGGTATGTGTGCATTTGCATCTGAATCCAGTCTCTCCACATTCCCATCAACCCCACATTCACCTCTTTCCCAAAAGGAAACAACTCAAAGAGTCAAAGGAAGGCCAGGTGCGGTGGCTCACGCCTGTCATCCCAGCACTTTGGGAGGCCAAGACGGGTGGATCACTTGCGATCAGCAGTTCAAGACCAGCCTGGCCAACATGGTGAAACCCCGTCTCTACTAAAAAATACAAACATTAGCTGGGTGTGGTGGCACACTGTAATCTCTGCTACTTGGGAGGCTGAGGCAGGAGAATTGCTTGAACCCGGGAAGAGGAGGTTTCAGTGAACAGAGATTGCACCACTGCACTCCAGCCTGGGCGGCAGAGTGAGACTCCATCTTAAAACAAAAAAAAAGTCATTAAAGAATAAACCTCTTAGGCTCACTCCATCCTCTCACCTTAAACTCTCAAGTAGCTGGGACTACAGGCACACACCTGTGATCCACACTCAGCTAATTCTTGTATTTGTTGTACAGATGGGGTTTTGCCATGTTGCCCAGTCTAGTTTCAAACCAGGCAGTCAGGAACCGGGCCACAGGTGAGCAGCGGGCGAGCGATGGAGGCTTCCTCTGTATCTACATGGTTCATTGTTCACATTGTTCACGTCGCCACCAGAGCTCTGCCTCCTGTCAGATGAACAGCGTAGGAGCGAGAACCCTATTGTGAACTGCGCATGCGTGAACCGTACTGTGAACTGCGCATGTGAGAGATCCCGGTTGCGCGCTCCTTATGAGACTCTAATGCCTGATGATCTGTCACTGTCTCCCACCACCGCCAGATGGGACCGTCTATTTGCAGGAAAACAAGCTGAGGGCTCCCACGGATGCTACATTATGGTGAGCTGTATAATTATTTCATTTTATATTACAATGTAATAATAATAGAAATAAAAAGCGCAGGTAAATGTAACGCATTGGAATCATCTCGAAAACGCCCCCCCAACCCCCACTGCGCTCAGTCTCTGGAGACAGTGTTCCATTCCACGAAACCAGTCCTTTGGTGTCAAAAAGGTTGCTGACCTCAGGATTAAACGGTGGAATTCAAAGCGTGCACCAAGCAACTGTAGTTCCCCCCGCCCTTTGATGCATTCTTGGGAAAACGGTGTTTGTCCCCACTGTGGCGGGCGCCTGTAATCCCAGCTGAGGCACGAGAATTGCTTGAACCCGGAAGGAGGAGTTTTCAATGAGCAAATATTGCGCCACTGCACTCCAGCCTGGGCAGCTGAGTGAGACTCCATCTCAAAAAAAAAAAAAAAAAAGCCATCAAGGAATAAATAAAACAGGAGACAAGCTGTTTTTCTAAAGCCCAAATGTAATGTCATCAAATAACCACACTTCCTGATGACACCTAAATGCCCTTTGAAACTGCTTGGAAGTTTCTAGAAGAGCTCACCCACGGTAACAGAACACTCAAGTCTAAAAGGGAAAACACAAAATCCCCAATTTTCCTCTCAGAAATCAAGTTTTAATAGCCTCCTACGGAAACCATAATTTGAGGGCCACTGGGTGAACTGCTCTCTGAGGCCTGTGATCATAGAACGCTGAGAATGATTGGGCACCTGAACCGCCAGTGGATTTGGGATCCAAGTAAAATGAATGAGACCCACAGCTGGGCATGGTGGCTCATACCTGTCACCCCAGCACTTTGGGAGGCCGAGGCAGGCAGATCACCTGACGTCAGGAGTTGGAGACCAGCCTGGCCAGCATGGTGAAACCCGATCTCTACTAAAAATACAAACATTAGCAGGGCATGGTGGCAGGCACCTGTAATCCCAGTTACTCAGAAGGCTGAGGCAGGAGAATCGCTTGAACCTGGGAGGAGGAGGTTGCAGTGAGCTGAGATGGTGCCACTGTACTCTGTTGCCTGGGCAAGAGAGTGAGACTCCATCTCAAAACAAAACAAAACAAAACAAAAAAATAAAATGAATGACACCCAAAGCATAAGGTGTAGTGAAGCACTTTTACCCACACACAGAAGCCAAGAGGAGGCTGAGGAGGGCATGAGGAAGTTGGAAAGAAGGAAATTATCACATAGAGAATAAAGCAAGCAACTCAAATAAATATGAGTCTCTCCACTTATGTCCCCCTAGCCTGGCTAGACAAAGAAGAGCAGGCCAGGGCAGAGGCTCACGCCTGTAATCCCAGCACTTTGGGAGGCTGTCAGGAGAATCCCTTGAGACTAGAAGTTTGAGGCAAGCCTGGGCAATATAGTGAGACCCATCTCTACAAACAAGTTTAAAAACGACTTGAGGGACTGAGGTGGGAGGACCACTTGAGCACAGGGTTTGAGGCTGCAGTGAGCTGTGATCGTGCTATTGCACTCTAGCCTGGGCGACAGAGTGAGACCTTGTCTGATGAAGGATGGAAGGAAGGAAGAAGAAAGAGGAAAGGAAGAAAGGAAGGAAGGAAGAGAAAGAGTGAGAGACAAAGGAGGGAGGGAGGGAAAGGAAGAGAAAGAAAGAAAGGGAAAGAGAAAGAAAGAAAGGAGGGATGAAGGGAGGAAAGAAGGAAGGAAAAGAAAGAAAAGAGTTACAGGAGCTTGGCCTTGGGCATGGAAAGGGATTTATGGGTAAGAACGGGCCCCCCTTCCAGCCCTTGTACCTCCCAGAAAACCACCTTGTGTTTGGCTCACGAACTTCTGCTTCTTGGAACTCATCTAAGTGAAAGACAACATGCCCCTCTGAGAGATCACTGATCTCATGCCACGTTACCGTTCTGTGGCTGCCAGGAGGAACTGCCCGGTCGGTCTTGGGTTTACTCCTAATTCCGCTCCCACCTCACCTTGAGTTTTCCACTTTGAAATCTAAAGATCAAAGGTGTTTCTTGGGTCTCATAGAAATCCCCGCACCACCCCCCCAACTTCCTTCCTATCTGTTTTCTCAGCCAGTCATCCCTCTGGCTGTGTATTATTCACAAACAGTTTTACAGGATGCAAAGATAAAATTTAATGCACTTTCCTTAGCAACCGGGAAAAAAAAATCCTTGAAAAATTAAACAGCAGATACCCAAATAGAAACTTTGCATTAGAAAAATGGAATCTGACCACACACGCGTGCACACAGCACACACATTGTCATAACCTTGACCAGCCTGAGAGAAACAGTTCTCAAGCCAGCGAGAAAACAACAGCTGTAGCCGGGTACAGTGGCTCGAACCTATAATCCCAGCACTTTGGGAGGCCCAGGTGGGTGGGTCGCTTGAGCCCAGGAGCTCAAGACCAGCCTAGATAACATGGCAAAACCCCATCTTCCCTAGGGATACAAAAATTAGCTGGGCATGGTGGCACATGCCTGTGATCCAGCTACTCAGGAGGCTGAGGCACTAGAATTGCTTGAACCTGGGAGGCGAAGGTTGCAGTGAACCAAGATTGTGCCACTGCAGTCCAGCCTGGGCAACAGAGACTCCATCCCTAAATAAACAAACAATTAAATAAATAAATAAATAAAATTAGCTGGACATAGCGGCGCACGCCAGTGGTCCCAGCAACTCAGGAAGCTGAGGTGGGAGGACTGCTTGTGCCCAGGAGGTCAAGGCTGTAACGAGCTGTGATCACGCCACTGCACTCCAGCCGGGGTGACTGATGCCTCACTTTCACTTCACTCCAGGCAGCCTGCAGAAGCCGGATATTTATTTGAAATCTCCAGCTTTGGTTCTTTATGTGTATGCAAACGTTGAGCTCAACTCCATAAAAATCATGTTTTGTTGTGTTTTGCTTTGCTTTGATTTGAGACAAGGTCGTGCTCTGTCACCCAGGCTGCCTATCACAACTCTCTGCAGCCTCGACCTCCCAGGCTTAACTGATCCTCCTGCCTCAGCCTCTCCAGTAACTGGGATTACAGGCGCACACCACCAGACCCAGTTAATTTTTGTTTTTTAGACCGAGTGTCGCTCTGTCACCCAGGTTGGAGTGCAGTGGCACGATCTTGGTTCACTGCAACCTCCACCTCCCAGGTTCAAGCAATTCTAGTGCCTCAGCCTCCTGAGTAGCTGGGATTACAGGTGCCTGCCACCACTCCCGGCTAATTTTTGTATTTTCAGTAGAGACAGGGTTTCACTCTGTTGGTCAGGCTGGTGGTCTCAAACTCCTGACCTCGTGATCCACCCGCCTTGGCCTCCCAAAGTGCTAGGATTACAGATGTGAGCCACTGCACCCAGCCTGTGCTGTCTTATTTAGCAATAAGCTAAATTCAGTTTTCAGAAGATGATGCTGTCACCCCACTGCCAGTCAAACCCAGGTGAGGATTTCGCTCCATCCCCTGTGTTTTCCAAAGGAGCTGGTGTTTGGAAAGGACACGCATGCCACCAAGCATTCTAAATGACCTGGAACTCCAGGGCCAGGTAAGTTCCGGATTTTATTATTAGTAACAAATTAAATTGACTAACAACAAAAGAAAAGTGCACAATCAGTGACCCCTCGTGAACCAAAACATGCATAACCTCATTTACACAGGGCAGAGTCAACTGCAAAACAGCTGTCTCCGCTCCCACAGACTGAAAGCCACCGGGTCAGGGCAGGCAGCCGCGGAGTAGGAACCTGTCCCCATCCACGCGATCTGGAACAATCCACAAGGCTTATCAGGGAGCTGCCCCCGGCAAGAAACAACAAAAACACTTCTTGTGCCAAATAGAGCTTTGGCGGGAAGATCAGTTTGTCTGGGGCAGGGTGGGGTCACAGGCGACACCCCTCTCCCTTTATCCTCACGAATCCAACACCTGTTAATGCTGGGACCATTTTCTAAGTCACGGACTCAGCCTCTGGGTTGGAAAATTCCCCCATCATTGTTATCTTTGTTTGTTTATTTGTTTGCTTCTTTTTTGAGACAGAGTCCCGCTCTGTCACCCAGGCTGGAGTGCAGTGGCACAATCTCAGCTCACTGCAACCTCCGACTCCCAGGTTCAAGCAGTTCTCTTGCCTCAGCCTCCCGAGTAGCTGGGGTTACAGGTGACCACCACAATGCCTGGCTAATTTTTCTGTATTTTTAGTACAGACGGGGTTTTTCCTTGTTGGCCAGGCTGCTCTCGAACTCCTGACCTCAGGTGATCCACATGCCTCGGCCTCCCACAGTGCTGGGATTACAAGCGTGAGCCACCGTACCCAGCCGCTGTTACCTTAAAGTAGGGTTGCTCAGCCTCAGGACTGGCGGTATTCGAAGCCGGATCTTCGTCTGGGGTAGGGCTGTCTTGCACACTGCGGTGCTCAGGAGCATCCCACTCCATGCCAAGCAACCCCCACCTCGAGGTGGGGCCACCACGGATGTCCCCAGAAATATCCAGACCCACCCTAGGGTGAGGGCCACTTGGTGAATGAGACCCTTGCCAAAGCCAGAGGGAAATCATCAAAGAGGATGGCACTGAAATGGCTGAGTGGGCCCATCTTTCTGTCCATCAGACCCTGATTTACAGCTTTTGGGGACTCCAGCAGCCCACTGCTCTGGCTTCCCCTCGGTCACCCTGCTGTTTCCCATCATCCCTAAGACCCAAGCCCTGCGATTCCCACTCAGCTCCCACCTTGCAGACACATTGAATTGAATGCATATCCGCCTGTCCAAGGCTTGCTGAGGGTCTGCCATGTTTTGGGGGCCACTTCAATAGCAACAAGGCATCGTGGATATTGACCTCATGGTGCTTCCAGCCTGGCAGGCAGGCAGAATCAGAGAGAATTTTTTTAAATTTATTTTTGGATTTCTGTTTTTTGAGATGGAGTTTTGCTCTTTGTTGCCCAGGCTGGAATGCAATAGTGCAATCTCGGCTAACCACAACCTCCGCCTCCCAGGTTCAAGGGATTCTCCTGCCTCAGCCTCCCGAATAGCTGGGAGTACAGGCATGCACTGCCATGCCTGGCTAATTTTTGTATTTTTAGTATAGACGGGGTTTCACCATGTTGGCCAGGCTGGTCTCAAACTCCTGATCTCAGGTGATCTGCCCACCTCAGCCTCCCAAAGTGCTGGGATTACAGGCATGAGCCACCACGCCTGACCATATATATACATATTTTTTTTTTCTGAGACGGAGTTTTACTCTTTTTGTCCAGGGTGGAATGCAATGGCACAATCTCAGCTCACTGCAACCTCCGCCTCCTGGGTTCAAGCAATTCTCCTGCCTCAGCCTCCCAAATAGCTGGGATTACAGGTGCCTGCCACCATGCCCCACTAATTTTTTGTATTTTTAGCAGAGTGGGGTTTCACCATGTTGCCCAGGCTGGTCTTGAACTCCTGACCCCAGGTGATTCACCCACTTCAGCCTCCCAAAGTGCTGGGATTACAGCACTGTGCCCAGCCAGAGAGAAATTTCCATCTGCTTCTGTGCCACCGTCTAGTAGACCTCTTCAGCCTCGGCCCCCTCAGTGAATTCCTATAGCACACAAGGATCCCAGGCCAGCAATCAGGGTCCCTTTCCAGCTCTGTTTAAAATGTGAGGCTTAGAGCAACAGTGAAGACGCTTTAAGCCCCCGCAGGGCACTGCGAGAACCCACCCTCCACAAAGTGTGCAAAGAATGGTTATCTAGCCTTCATCTTCCCTTTGCTTCTCTCCCCAAGGAATACTCAAGATAAATCCTCTCTTGCAGGTCCTTTATTTATTGAGCCGAAGACCATCTCAGAAGGTTGACTTCTGCAGCAGAGGTTGCAAATCATTTGCACATCTTCAAAGTATCATCATCCACAGCCCAGTGCATGCGCTGCTCTAATTGTCTACGAAGAAAAGCAACACCTTCAACAACTCAAGATCAGCAGGGAAAGACTTCAGATGGGAAAAGTCAAATCACAGGTTACAAGTCAGAACTGGCTGGGTGTGGTGGTTCATGCCTGTCATCCCAGCACTTTGGGAGGCTGAGGTGGGCAGGTCATCTGAGGACAGAAGTTCAAGACCAGCCTGGCCAACGTGGTGAAACCCCGTCTCTACTAAAAATACAAAAAATTACCCGGGCATGGTGGTGAGTGCCTGTAATCCCAGCTACCTGGGAGGCTGAGGCAGGAGAATTGCTTGAACCTGGGAGGCGAGGTTGCAGTGAGCTGAGTTCACACCACTGCACTCAAGCCTGGACGACAGAGTGACTTTGTCTCAAAAAAAAAGAAAAAGAAAGAAAGAAAGGAAAAGGAATATAGACACTTGAACTTCCCAAAACCCAGATGGATTGCCTATTAACAATCCGGACGAGAAGTCTATGAACCAGCTTCTCAATAAATGTCTTTTAAGGGTGACAATGTGATGAAGGCGTTTTCTCTTTGTAACTAAACTCCATACTCATGTGAAGGGGGCCATTCCATTTAAGAAATGAACCAGGTATGAGAAGAAACATTTTCCCGGAGAGAGGCAATGCCCTCTTTCTTCCCTGGAGCTCGGAACTTGTTTCTTTGCACGTCCTCCCAGAACTCCAGTTCTTATCCCTCCCCTGGTGCTGGCCCTCCATAAACATTTGCTGAACAAATAAACCAACGACTGAAGGTAACAGAAACTTCAAGACGGCTGGGCCTCTGACCCACCGCCTAACCGGAGGGAACCAGACGTTAGCATTCAAGTTAAAAGTTACAAGCCTTCCCAAGGTCACAGAGCGAGGTCTCTCTAACCTGGCCTCAGGTCCTCATTCTTCTCTGTTTACCCAGGATGGAAAAATGACTTTCTCTGCCGGTGGGCTGGTTGTCCACGTGAGAGATTTCAACACAGCGGTTTGGGGGTTTTAAACCTCTATCAGCTACAGCCCAAGGAACTAAATTGGGGGCCAGGTATGCGTGAGGGGATTTGCAAACCTTGTCTAATTTAATCCACTCCGTGACCATAGAGGAAGGTACTATGATGATTTATCTCTCTTTTTATAGATGAGGAAAGAGATGTTTAGTAGTTCTGAAGGTCCATCCCTTCCTATCCTTTCTCTCCCTTCCTTCCTCCCTCCCTTTCTCCCTCCCTCCCTCTTTCCTTGTTCCTTCCCTCCCTTCTTCCTTTCTTGTTCTCTCCTTTCCTCCCTCCATTTTTCCTTCTTCCTTCCCTCCCTCCCCACTCCCTCCCTCCCGCCTCCCTCCCTCATTCCTCTCTCCCTCCTTCCCTCTTTCCTTCCTTCTTCCCTTCTGCCTTCCTTCACTCCTTCCTTCCCCACTTCCTTCCTCCCTCTTTCCCTCCTTCCCTCCTTCCTTCCTTTCTTCCTTCTGTCCCCACTCCTTTCCCTCCCACTTCCTTCCCTCCTTCCCTCCCTCCCTTCCTCCTTTCTTCCTTCTTCCCTCCTGCCTTTCCTTTCTTTCTTCAGGGTCTGGCTCTGTTGCCTAGGCTGGAGTGCAGTGGTGCAATCATAGCTCACTGCAGCCTTGACCCCAGGGCTCACGGGATCTTCCTGCCTCAGCCTCCCAAGTAGCTGGGGCTACAGGCACATGCCACTGTGCCTAGCTAATTTTTTTATTTTTTGTAGACAAAGGTCACACGGCAAAGAAGTGGAAGAACCAGGATTCGAATGCAGGACCACAGGCTGTGAGTCTGTGTTGTTCATGGAAGCACCAGTCAGCTCAGGCGCTCCCAATCCTTGCCCAGATGGTCAAATGCTTCACACAAGGACACCAGGGAAGGTTATTGTTCATCGTATTTATGCCCTTGTGTCACTCTCTATATCTGGGGTTAAGAATCACTCCAGAAACACCACACTGATCTCCCAGACTCTCATTTCCAGCAGAGCAGACAGCCATCCCCGCCAGCACCCCCTCCACCCACTCAGTCCCCTCCCGGTTCCACTTCAGGATGACTCTGAAGACGGAAAAAGACTCAAAGCAAAATGCCTATAGCTTGGAAATGCCAGCAGTCCCTAAAAACTACTGAGCCTCCTTTTTTTTGAGATAGAATCTCATTCTGTCACCCAGGCTGGAGTGCAGTGGTATGATCTCAGCTCACTGCAACCTCTGCCTCCTGGGTTCCAGTGATTCCCCTGCCTCAGCCTCCTGAGTAGCTGGGATTACAGGCATGCACCACCCTGCCTGGTCAATTTTTTTTATTTTTTGGTAGAGACGAGGTTTCCCCATATTGGCCAGGCTGGTCTCCAACTCCTGGCCTCAGGCGATCTGCCCACCTCAGCCTCCCAAAGTGCTGGGATTACAGGCGTGAGTCACCGCATCTGGCCTCGAGCCTCCTTTTTTGATACCATCCCTCATTTCCGCTTCCTTCTTTGAACATATTTGAATCACAAAGCCCCAGCTCTGTTGGGAAATTTCAACAGAATTGAAACAGGTTCCTAATCTCATGGTCTCACTTCAGGGTAAAGTGGCTAAGAAGATGGAAGTAGGCCCAGTGTGGTTGCTCACGTCTGGCATCCCTGCACTTTGGGAGGCTGAGGTGGGAGGATCACCTGAGGTCAGGAGATCGAGACCAGCCTGGCCAACATGGAGAAACCCCATCCCTACTAAAAATTAAAAAAAAAATTTTTTTAAAGCCAGGTATGGTGGCAGGGGCCTGTAATCCCAGCTACTCAGGAGGCTGAGTCAGGAGAATCGCTTAAACCTGGGAGGCAGAGATTGCAGTGAACTGAGATTGTGCCATTGCACTCCAGCCTGGGCGACAGAGCAAGACTCCGTCTCAAAAAAAAAAAAAAGGATGGAAGTACTGACTGTGACTTGAAATCCTAAAGAGAATATTGCATGAACTCTTGGGCTCTTGGACCCCCGTGTTGTTATGTGGTACAAAGGAGTCGGCCCCTGAACTCCCACTGTGTACCAAGAGTTGGGGAGAGGTGCACAGTAGCAGGACTGACATCCAGAAGGTAACAGGGAACCACTGGGGCTGTTCCTGGGCTCTAGGTTCTAAAGTGCAGGCCCCTTGTATCCAGGAGGTCTAGGAAGGAACAAAGTGCCACGATCTAAGGGAACAGAGATCTCGATCACGTCGGAGTCACCACCTGAGACGTCAACCACCACCTGCAGAGGTCTGTCCTGCAGACCCTGACTCAGTGATGGATGAATGAATGCACTCACATGTACTGACCTGAGAGGGCTAGGGATGGTTGTCAGCTGCTTTCAGAGGGCAGTTACAGCCAACTGATCATAACTCCCTGTACGTCCTCACATTTATTCTATATAGATCTAATAATAGAGGTTCTAAGTCAACACACTTGTGGATAATTAACATGGTTGAAAGAGTGGTTTTACGGCTGGGCGAGGTGGCTCACATCTGTCATCCCAACAATTTAGGAGGCTGAGGTGGGCAGATCACCTGAGATCAGGAGTTCGAGACCAGCTTGACCAATATGCAGAAACCCCTGTCCTTACTAAAAATACAAAATTAGCCGGGCGTGGTGGTGCACGCCTGTAATCCCAGCTACGCGGGAGGCTGAGGCAGAATTGCTTGGACCCGGGAGGTGGAGGGTGAGCCTGGATCACACCATTGCACTCCAGCCTGGGCAACAAGAGTGAAACTCCATCTCAAAAAACAAACAAACAAAAGAGTGGGTTTATGAATGATAAAAGCTTTAGGTACCAGGGCCCAGAGTAAACACCATTAACAGGTAATTCCCCTCCCTTTGACCTCCCCCCGAGAGGACCATCCAGCACAAAGTCTACATGAGCAAACAGAGCAGAAACAAAGGGGTGTGGGGTAACAGACAACTGCGGAAGCTTCATTGTCCCTATCTTTCACCCTGTGACTTAAACTCTAACATAATGAACTGGCTGCCTTCAGCCCATTACATCAAAACTTTTCCGCCTTCCAAAAGGTTCGAGACTATAATCCTCTAACTTTCCCTAATAGTTCCCTAATATTTTGCCAGCCACCCTGAGTGCATCCCAATAGGAACCACTGCAGGGATCCCCAGAAGCCACAGCAAGGCCATCAGGATGCTGGGGACCCCATCTGCCTCTCACCAAGCCCCTGCTCCAACTCCTGTTGGCCCCAGGCTAGAGACCTGCCCAGAGGGGGTTTCCAGGCCCAGATGATAGGTTTCTCACTGTACCCATTCCCCATTTCTGCTGTAACGAATGCCTGCAAACGTAAAATGACATAAATTTGCTATTTTCTCTTGCCACGGGATCTTACTCTGTTGCCTAGGCTGGAGTGCAGTGGTGCAATCATGGCTCACTGCAGCCCCGAACTCCCAGGCTCAAGCAATCCTCCCACCTCAATCTCCCAAGTAGCTGGGATATAGACGTGTGCCACCAAGCCTGACCAATTTTTCCTTTTCTTTTTTTTCTTTTTTGTAGAAATAGGGTCTTGCTATATTGCCCAGACTAGTCACAAACTCATAGCCTCAAAAACTCATCCCACCTTGGCCTCCCAAAGCACTGGCATTACAGGCACAAGCCACCATGCCCTGCCTATTTTCTTACAGTTTGGGTGGTTAAAAAGCCCAAAATGAGGCCAGGCGCAGTGGCTCATGCCTGTAATCCTAGCACTTTGGGAGACTGAGGCAGGCAGATCAAGAGGTCAGGAGTTTGAGATGAGCTTGGCTAATATGGTGAAACCCTGTCTCTGCTAAAAAAAAAAAAAAAAAAAAAAATTAGCCAGGCATGGTGGTGCACGCCTGTAGTCCCAGCTACTTGGGAGGGTGAGGCAGAAGAGTTGCTTGAACCCAGGAGGCAGAGGTTGCAGTGAGCTGAGATCGCACCACTGCACTCCAGCCTAAGCAACAAAGCATGACTCCATCACACACACACACACACACACACACACACACACACACACACACACACAAAGCCCAAAATGAGTTTTACAAGGCTAAAATCAAGGTGTCACAAAGGCTGATTCCTTCTGGAGACTCCAGAAAGAATCCAGCTTTTAAGGCAGCCCCTTTTTCTTCATGATAGCACTCGACTCTCTTGCCTCCCTCTTTACCTGAAAAAAATCCCTGTGATGGCATCTGGTGCACCGGATAATCTAGGATCATCCTCTATCTCAAGAGCCTCAACTTAATCACAACATCTGCAAAGAGCCTTGTGCCAAGTGAGGCACTGAATTCACAGGTGACAGAGATTACAACGTGGTCATCTCTGGGGGCAGGGAGGGGCATCATTCCACCGACTACATCCACCCTTCCCAGGATTTTCCTCTACCAGCCGCAGAACGTTTCGGTAGCAGACATCGAGTGACATCTCTCACCTTTTCCTTTTTTCTTTGTAAAAACAAAACATAAAAGATGCAAGGTTGAGACAGAGCATTCTCATGTACCCATCACTCAGCAGAAATACAACCCCCGGAAGGTAACAGAACCCTGCACCCAAGAATCTGTTGCTTGGGATAGTCCCGAAAGCTCTCTTCACCGTGGGAGGATGGGATGGTGATGGAGTTAGGAGAGCCCCAGACTTGCAGTGAGGCAAGAGAGATTGCAAAACGGTCAGCAAAGAAATAAACACATTGCATCTCCATAAGGAAACACAGGGAGAAGGGGGAGAAATTCTGACTCACCCCCACCCCGCCCTGGGGGTCACTTGGCAGTGTCTGGGAGACATTTCTGGTTGTCGCAACTGGTGTGGGGTGGAAATGTGACTGGCATCTAGTGAGGAGAGGCCTGAAATGCCCAGGACATCCCCCACCAGAAAGACTAATCCAGCCTGAGACTTCCTCAGTACTGTGGTTGAATAAGCATGGAATAGACTTTATTATTTTACAGGTGAGGAAATTTCATCTAAGAGAAATCAACTCAGTTACCTAATGTCACCCTGCTCAAAAGAGGCAGACCTGGGGTTAATGACCATGGGCTTTTCTCAGAGATTGGGCACACTGAACGTCTTGCCTCTTGTTGTTTGTTTTGTTTAGACGGAGTCTTTCTCAGTTGCCCAGGCTGGAGTGCAATGGCACGATCTCAGCTCACTGCAACCTCCACCTCTTGGGTTTAAGTGATTCTCCTGCCTCAGCCACCCAAGTGTACCAGGGATTACAGGCAACCGCCACCACAGCTAGCTATTTGTGTGTGTGTATTTTTTGTAGCAATGGGGTTTCTCCATGTTGGCCAGGCTTGTCTCAAACTCCTGATCCCAAGTGATCCACTTGCCTTGGCTGCCCAAAGTGCTGGGATTATAGGCATGAGCCACCGCACCCAGTCTGTTGTTTGAGCAAAGACAATCTGAGGAAATCATGTGAGGAAGGATCACAGGGAAAAGCATGTAGGTAGAGGGAACAGCAAGTACAGAGGCTCAGAGGCAGCAGGAAATCAGCCAGTGAACTCCAGCCAAGAGTCCCACGACAGAGAAACAGGCAACTGGCTTGTTGGTGACAGCAAAGAAGGAGGCATGAACCATTCACTCTTCTGTGCAGCAGTCACTCTGTGTGTGGTTTTCAGACACATTTAAAGTGGACTTGAAAAAAAAAAAGACCTGCAATCCAACATCTGAGTAAGGGCTTTGTCCCGCTTCCCAGGACCTGAAGATCTTACCCAGAATCCAGGATAAAACTGCTGTGGTGTCGGTTGCAGGGACCAGATAGATCACTCTCTCCCAACCACAACCTTCCCAACCTCTACACTGGCGTCTGAAGCTCTTGGGCTCCAGTTATCTCCACTGACCACCCCAGGGGCTGGAAGTCATGAGGGCAGTTCTGCAGCTCTTTGGGCTTCACATGTTGCTTTGATTGTCATGCCTTGGATTAGCAAGATCTCTCTCAGTTTGTGAGAACAAACAGAAAGCTCAGTTATACAAAAAGAAAGCAAGAAAGAGAGAGAGAGAAGGGAGAGTGGGAGGGAAGGAAACAAGGGACGGAGGGAGAGAGAGGGAAAAAAAAGAAAGAAAGAAGAAAGAAAGAAAAAAGGAAGGAAAGGCAAGGTTAGGTTCTGGTTCATGTAACTAACAAGTCATAGGACAAGGATGCTTTCAGGTACAGCTAGATCCAGGTGTCAAATGATGTAATGGGGACCCTGTCTCTCTCCCTCTCCTTTTCTCAGTCCTGCTTCCCTCTGTAGTGTCAGAAGTCTGAGACAGGTGGTCTCCACATGGTAGCACCTGGATTATAGCGTCACAGCAAGAAAGACCTAGCAAGGAAAAAACTCTCTTTCAATCACTCCCACCAAAGTCTCAGAACTGAATCTTATGAAACCCTCTGGGGTCACATGCCCACCCCTGACCCAATCATAGAGGCTGGAGGGATGAGGGAAAACTGATTGGCCCAGCCTGAGTCATGCGCCCTCCCCTAAGCCAATCATAGAGTCCGAAGGAATAAAGGAAGCTGGTTCTGGAAATGGAGTCCACACAACGTGGTCTGACTGCCTTCCCATGCAAAATATGGTTCTAACCCATGCAAATATGCTTCTGTCTCCAGGAATGCCAAATAGGCAAAACTGAATGTCTCCTCTCCAGAGATGGGTAGTCTTGTGTTTGCCTCCTTTTCAAGTTGGTGGCAAAAGTAAATCTTATTTATATATATATATATATTTTTGAGACCAAAGTCTCACTCTGTCGCCCAGGCTGCAGTGCATTGACCCCATCTCAGCTCATTGCAACCGCTGCCTCCTGGGTTCAAGTGATTCTCCTGCCTCAGTCTCCTGAGTAGCTGGGATTACAGGCGCCTACCACCACGCCTGGCTAATTTTTGTACTTTTACTAGAGATGGGGTTTCACTATGTTGGCCAGGCTGGTCTCAAACTCCTGACTTCAGGTGATCCTCTCTTCTCAGCCTCCCAAACTGTGGGATTACAAGCATGAGCCCCACGCCCAGCCGTGAACCTATTTTTACAACTTGTGCCAACTCTAAGTAGGTTCAGTCCTGTTATGCTCATTCAAAAAACTGAGACTGACAGAGCATACCTTATGCAGTAACTAAAAAAATTTTTTAAATACTAGGTATAAAACACACAGGATCTAGTATTCGGTAAGCCTGCCACACATTGGCCATCATTATTCCTAGGTTATAAATTTTACTGGTAACATAATAGTATGATTGGGATATCTGTCCCCTCCAAATCTCATGTTGAAATGTAATCCCCCATGTGGAAGTATTGAGAGGTGGGGCCTTTAAAAGGTGATTATAAGGGTTCTGTCTGCATAAGTGGATTAATCCATTCATGGGAGTGGGACTAGTGGTTTTGTAAGAAGAGGAAGAGAGACCTGAACTGGCACTCTCAGCCCCCTCACCACGTGATGTCCTGCCCTGTCAGGACTCTGCAGAGTCCCCACCGGGAATAAGGTCCTCAGCAGGCCGGGCGTGGTGGCTCATGCCTGTAATCCCAGCACTCTGGGAGGCCAAGGCAGGCAGATCACTTGAGGTGAAGAGTTTGAGACCAACCTGGCCAACATGGTGAGACCTTGTCTCTACTAAAAACACAAAATTTAGCCAGGCTTGGTGCTGTGTGTCTGTAACCCCAGCTACTTGGAAGGCTGAGGTGGGAGAATCACTTGAACCTGCACGGTGGAGGTTGCAGTGAGCAAAAATCCAGCCACTGTACTCTAGTCTAGGCAACAAATCAAGACTGTCTCAAAAAAAAAAAAAAAAAGGAATAATGTTAAGTCCTGAGGCCGCTGGTTTGGTTCTTTCTTTAGCCTGGATGGGGTGAGCAAACTCCAGCCCTTTGCCTGTTTAGTAAAGTTTTATTGGAACACAGGGACACCATTCATTTTCCTGTCTATAGCTGCATTTGTGGTACAGCAGCAGAGTAGTGAAGTCAAGATAGAGATCCTGGGCTCGGCGTGGTGGCTTGTGCCTGTAATCCCAGCATTTTGGCGAGCCAAGGCGGGCAGATAACCTGGGGTCAGGAGTTCGAGACCAGCCTGGCCAGCATGTTTTTAGTAGAAACTCTGTCTCTACTAAAAGTACAAAAATTGGCTGGTCACGGTGGCTCATGCCTGTAATCCCAGCACTTTTCGAGGCTGAGTTGGGTGGATCATGAGGTCAAGAGATGAAGACCATTCTGGCCAACATGTTGGAAACCCATCTCTACTAAAAATACAAAAATTGGCCATGTGTGTTGGCTCACGCCTGTAATCTCAGCTACTCAGGAGGCTGAGACAGAAGAATCTCTTGAACCTGGGAGGTGGAGGTTGGAGTGAGCTGAGACTGCGCCACTGCAGACTCCATCTCAAACAAACAAAAATTAGCTGAGCGTGGTGTCACACATCTGTAATCCCAGCTATTTGGGAGGTTGAGGCAGGAGAATCGCTTGAGAGGCAGAGGTTGCAGTGAGCCAAGATAGCACCACTGCACTCCAGCCTGGGTGACAGAGCAAGACTCCATCTCAAAAAAAAAAAAAAAAGAAAGAAAGTAAAGAAAAGAAAAAGAAAAAAAGAAACCACCGAGATCCCACAGCCTGCAAAGCCAAAAACACGATGTGATTTTGCAAGGTGAAGTTCGCATGGCTGTGGCATCACACTGTTTCAACTCTTCCTTCCTAGCTGTGGCCCTCTCTCTAGGCAATTCAGCTACTCCAGACCCCCTGTTGACTTGCCAGCAACAAGCAACATCCGCCTGATAGGTCTGTTGTAGGGATCAAGAGCAATTATACAGCAAACTCGGGGCTGGGAAGCAGCTGGGAAGATCCTCATAAAGCCACGATTTATTGAGCACCAACTGTTTTGTTTACACTTACCAAGTATGCACAACTCAGCAGACACATGATCCTTGTAACAATCTCCATTTTTTTCTTTTTCTTTTTTTTTTTTTTTTTGAGATGGAGTCTCACGCTGTCACTGAGGCTGGAGTGCAGTGGCATGATCTTGGCTCATTGCAACCTCTGCCTTCTAGGTTCAAGCGATTCTCCTGCCTCAACCCACCCCCCCCAAGGAGCTGGGACTACAGGCACCTGCCACCATACCGGGCTAATTTTTGTATTTTTAGTAGAGACAGGGTTTCACCATATTGACCAGGCTGGCCTGGAACTCCTGACCTTGTGATCTACCTGCCTTGGCCTCCCAAAGTGCTGGGATTACAGGTGTGAGCCACCCTGCCCGGCCAATCTTTTCATTTTTCTTCAGAACACCATTTGGGAAAGGCTAGGTCAGAGTCTGGGGTGGGTTGAGAGCTAGAAGACACCCTGAGCCTATGTCCTCGGTAAATGAGCAGGAGTGACCCATGCTCAGCTGACAGCATTCACGAGGAAGGAAAGAGGGCGGCAGTGCACAGAAGAGAACAGATTCTGCCAACATCTATCTAGCCCAGCTTGGTACTTTGGACTGCAGCCTGTATGCAAATCCCTGGCCTCTGGTGACCTCAAGCTGTCTTGGCCCTGACTCCCAACCCTGAACCTGTTTCCTTACTCAGACAGAGGTCTGACATTTGACATGCATCCCCCACCCCAGCACCCATCTGGCTTCCCTATTTTTTTTTTTTAAGAGACAGGGTCTTGCTCTGTTGTCCTGGCTGGTGTGCAGTGGTGTGGCCATAGCTGACTGCAGCATCGAACTTCGGGGCTCAAGCGATCCTCCTGCCTCAGCCTCCCAAGTAGCTGGGACTACAGGCATGGGCCACTACAGCTGACTAATTTTTTTATTTGTTTAGAGACAAGGTCTTGCTACATTGCCCAGGTTGGTCTTGAAATCCTGGCCTCAAGCAATCCTCCCACCTCGGTCTCTCAAAGTCCTGGGATTACAGGCATGGGCCACTGCACCCAGTCTGGCTCCCCTATTTTTTGGCAGTCATTATATCCACTCCTTGCTCTTGGTGGGGGACCTAGCTATGTCCTTGGGGAGGGCCAGGCTAAAGGTAACTGCGCTTCCTTAGAGGAGGAGAGGTATGAGGAAGCCTGCTTACTCCAGGGACAGGGAGGCCAGCTCCCTTGCAAAAAATGCAAAGGAGGAAGCCAATGAGAACTGGCTAAAACTGGCTGGGTGCCGTGGCTCACGCCTGTATCCCAGCACTTGGATCACCTGAGGTCAGGAGTTTGAGACCAGCCTGGCCAGCATGGTGAAATGCCATCTCTACTAAAAATACAAAAATTGGCCAAGCATGGTGGTGGGCACCTGTAATCCCAGCTACTCAGGAGGCTGAGGCAGGAGAATCACTTGAACCTGGGAGGCAGAGGTTGCAGTGAGCTGAGATCAGGCCACTGCCCTCCAGCCTGGGTGATAGAATGAGACTCTGTCTCAAAAAAAAAAAAAAAAAAAAAGGCTAAAACTAAAGAGGTTACATGTGCCACGCACCACACTTTACATGTCATAAGCATTAATTACCTCATTAGATTTTTACCCAAACCAAGAAATGGAAGTATTTAGAGAAACAAGCCCAGCATTAAGATGCAAGGGAGCATCGACATCTTTACCTCAGGGAGGTACTCCTGACAGAATGAGTTAAAGAGAATTCAATCGGTGTCCAGGCTCTGGTATAAAATTCTGCTTTTGGGTGAAATGTAAGGTGACCTGGACACACTGTGATGAGTTGGTTATCCTAGTGACCCAATTTTGGCCTCCAGATATCAGCTTCTGGCCAATTCTAACAGGAGCAGGAAGCCAAGGTTAGCACAGAGTATGCTTTTTCTTCATTGAACTCCTATTCACCCTTCAAAACCCAGTAGAAAGTTCCCTTCCTCTGTAAGGCGGAGTATAGCAGAAAATACTAGCGTTCTGAAGCCAGAGAGACTATGGGTTCAAATCTGAGCTCTGTGAAAAGATTGTCATGAGGACCATGTGCCTGGGAAACAATACATGCTCAAAACTGCATATAGATGGTGCTCAATAAATAGTGAGTCGTGGATGTTCTCAGGTGCTTCAAAGCCCTTAACCAGATGTAAATTACTCTATTACACCCAAAATTTCCCATCTGCCCTCCTGTAAGCCACCAGAACAGACTGGAACACAATTTTTTTTTTTTACTGAGTCTTGTCACATGTGCAAACCAGTTCATGCAAATCTCCATTTCAGTCTCTCTCCCTCCTCCTCAAGCCTGACACCAAGCAGGGCTGTTTTCCACTTGGCTTTTCCTCTGCCAAGAATTTCCCCAGAGTCCAAACAGAGGCGTGCCTCGAAGTAAACACGGGAAGCTCTGAAAACCCATTCACGAGCAGCTCAAAGGTGTCGAGACGTCAGGGTGTGTGGCCGAGCCTTCCACCGTGGGGACAGGGAGCCTCCATGAAGCCGAGGCGACTTGCTGACGGCCCCACTCCAGGTGACCAAGCCACATCTCGACCAGAGGAAGGAGAACACACAAAGACATACACTGTCTCTGCCGGAGGGCGATGGGCCAGGCAGTGCACCCCGGCGAAGGGGCCAAGAAGCCATAAGACGTGTGTCCCGAGGAAATGCACGATGGTTATAAATACAAGCAAAGAGTGTTTTGACGGAGCTGTGTCTGAAATTGGAGATGATCCTGGCTAACCAGTGGCAGGTGGGCTTTTGCAGAGATAATCCAGGGTACTTTTCATAGAGACCTGGGACTGTAAGGATGCTCCCCAAACCCCCATGAAATAGCCGGGTTCTGCTCAATTAGCTGGCTGAAGAAAGCTTGGTCCAAACTGTGTCAGTGGTAGGAGTGGTGGAACAGAGGAAAGAAAAGGGGATGAGAGGTCGGGCATGGTGGCTCACAACTGTAATCTCAGCACTTTGGGAGGCCGAGGTGGGCAGATCACCTGAGGTCAGGAGTTCGAGACCAGTCTGACCAACATGGAGAAACCCCATCTTTACTAAAAATACAGAATTAGCCAGGCATAGTGGCAGGTGCCTGTAATCCCAGCTACTCGGGAGGCTGAGGCAGGAGAATCGCTTGAACCCAGAAGGCGGAGGTCACAGTGAGCTGAGATTGCACCACTGCACTCCAGCTTGGGCAACAGATTGAAACTCTGTCTCAAAATAAATAAATAAATAAATATTTTTTTTAAATGCCTAAATCATAGTTCCCCAGATTCCTCGGTCCCTCAAGACTAGGGACGTGGTTCTTGTCGGTGGCACTAGAGTCGAGCCAACCAAACCATGTGGCTGATGATGGGCTCTTGGTTTCCATTTTTGTCCCCCCAAAAAGAGCAGGGAATAATTGCAGAGTACCCCTCTGACATTTGACATATGTCCCCCAACCCCAGCATCCATCTGGCTTCCCTATTGTTTTCTTTTTAAGAGACAGGGTCTTGCTCTGTTGTCCAGGCTAGTGTGTGGTGGTGTGACCATAGCTCACTGCAGCATCGAACGCCTGGAATCAAGCAATCCTCCTGCTTCATCCTCCAGCGTAGCTAGGACAACCCCTCACCCCCATTCCAGCACCCTGGTCCAAGGGTCCTCAAATGGAGGCAATTGTGCTCACTAGGAGAGAACTGGCAGTGTCTGGAGACATTTGTGTTTGCCATGCCTGGGGGGCACGCCTGGCATGGAATGGGTGGAAGCCAGGGGATGCTTCTCAGCACAGCCCCACCCCAGAGAACAATCCAGCCCCAATGTCCACAGGACCCAGGGTGGAGAAACCCTGTCCCAGAATGGGAAGTCTCTCTTCTCTACCACATGAAACCCAAGATGACAACATCTCTGCCTTTGACGCAAAGTTAGAGGGAAGTCTCATTGTTCAAATGGCTCTAACACTAGAACAGGAAAATTAAGAAGTGTCTGAGGTCATCCTGGCCAACATGATGAAACCCTGTCTCTACTAAAATTACAAAAAATTCGCCGGGCAAGGTGGTGGGTGCTGTAGCCCCAGCTGCTTGGGAAGTTGAAGCTGGAGAATGACTTGAGTCCAGGAGGTCAAGGCTACAGTGAGCCATGATCACACCACTGCACTCCAGCCTGGGCAACAGAGCCAGACCCTGTTTCAAAAAAAAAAAAAAAAAAAAAAATGCCCAAAGGAGGAGATGGGTCCTAGAAACAGCCCAATTCCATCTCCATACACCCCTGCTCCAAACAGGTTTCCAAATTGCAAAAATTACCTATAAATGGAGCAAGACTCTGTCTCTTAAAAATTGCCTATGGGTGCTGGGGTTGGGGACACATGTCAAATTGCCTATAATTGATTTGATTAAAAAATCAAATCAAAATAATTTGATTAAAGAATTTGTCAATCCCACCTAATATTATCCCTATTATGCCTAGAAGGCATACTACTTTTATTATACGTTTATATGTATACATATATCATCAACATTTATTATAATTACTGTCATGACTTTTAAATACACATTTCACTCCAGCATCTGTAATACCCATTATCCTCTTAGTATTTGCTGCCTGCAAATACTCCTGGATGCAAATTCAATGCCCTTCTCCCCTGGCCAATTTTGCTACTCTTGAGCAAGATCTCGGCAACCCCACTTGGATGCTGGAAATATATGCCGGAGGAGACTTACTACGCTAATTTCCTGTAGTAAACAATTCAAATCTTACCTTGGAAACCACTGAAATAAGAAGAGTTAGCCACAGGCTGTGTGGAATTCCTTCCTCTTAACACTAAACACCAGCCATTCTGTGACTTTTGCTCTTGGGGTGGCAAACACAAATGCTTCTAGAACATTCAGTTTTCCAGCATGTACCTTTTCCGATTATTTTCAATAGGTTTGGTGTAAAAAATTAACAAATTCACTATTTGTTGTCAGACAGTCGCTCTGGAAAAAAGAACTGTGTGTTAAATACCAGCTGAATAAAGACCAGGCACGGTGGCTCATGCCTGTAATCCCAGCACTTTGGGACGCCAAGGCGGGCGGATCACGAGGTCAGCAGTTCAAGACTAGCCTGACCAACATAATGAAACTCCGTCTCTACTGAAAATACAAAAATTAGCCACGTATGGTGGTGCATGCCTGTGGTCCCAGCTACTTGGGAGGCTGAGGCAGGAGAATTGCTTGAACCTGGGACACAGAGGTTACAGTGAGCCGAGATCGTGCCACTGCACTCCAGGCTAGGCGACAAAGTGAGAGTCCATCTCAAAAAAAAAAAAAGAAAGAAAGAAAGAAAAAATACCAGTTGAGTAATCGCGCAAACAAATACCAGTTGAATAATTGAGCAAACATTTACATTCTTTTGTTTTGGAGGGGGGATGGAGAGACATGGTTTGGTTCTGTAGCCCAGGCTGGAGTGCAGTGGCACAATCACAGCTCACTGCAGCCTCGACCTCCTGGACTCAAGCAATCCTCTCACCTCAGCCTCTCAAGTAGCTGGGACTACAAGCATGCACTACCACACCTGGCTGGTTTTTGTATGTTTTGTAGAAACAGATTTCACCAAGTTGCCCAGTCTGGTCTCTAACTCCTGGACTCAAGCAATCAGCTTGCCTTAGTCTCCCCAAATGCTGTGATGACAGGCATGAACCACTGCGCCAGGTCAACATTTGCATTCTTGCCTGAAGATCACTTGCTTTTCCCAAAGCATGAGAGTTTTGCGTCAACTCCAGCCAGCTTAGACCTAATGCAGGTCCTCTGCTTTCACCAAGAGGACCGGCAAATTACATTATTGCAGATGACCTTGCAAATTACAAAACCAGTTCTCTATCAAGCCACACAGGGAAAGGCAGACCACCCTGATGAAAACCACAGTCGTGGTACAAATTGTTTTGTTTTTCTTTTTTCCAGAACACTGATATGCATTCCCAATGGTCAACATTGTGTCCTAAAAGGTGTTTTTCTGTTTCTTAACATACCAGAGACAAGACGGTCTGAGATTGGGACCTTCACACTGAGGTCATATTTCAACCCAGAAATCGGGGTAGCATCACCCAGAAAAAAAGAAAAAACAAGAGACAAATCAGACTGTCCCAAATCTAGGACCTCTCTCAGGGCACAAGAAATAGCCCCAGAGGGCCCCCATGGGTACTGCTCACTAAGGCCCTTTGTCTCTGTTCACTGTGGTGCTGAATGGTTCGGAAACCCACCCTCACTTTAGTGACGACACAGGGTCTGGAGAGTATCCAGACCTACAGTCCACCAGAGTTTCCATTCATTCCTAAAACAAATATTGACATTTGGCCAGAGGCAAAAAAAACAATATTCCACTCCGCTTGAAAATCGAGGTGGGGGCTTAAAGGTTTATTTACAGCTTAACAAAATAAATCTGCCATCTTTATAAACAGACAAATGTCATTTGTGTCTCTTGCATCTATGAGACAATCAAGATTTCATGATCACACCCCATTTACTCAGTAAGGCTAAAGACAGGAAGGTCAAGAGTATTAACAATTATGTAATTATCCTCTGCAGTAAAACAATTGATGCATTCCACTCAAATCAGAAATGAGACTGCACTGACCACATTCAGCTGTGTCACCAAACACTCTTCTGGAAATTCCTGTCGTAAAACGGTTAACAGCAATAACTGGTCTAATTATTGGCAAAAGGCAACAAATCATCATTATCTGCAGATGCTGCAATTATAGAGTTGGAAAATTGAAGGTACTCAATTGCTGGGCTTTTAGAACTAGTAAGCATTTAATAAGGTGGCAGTGAGTAAAGAAAACACAATTCCTGTCCCCTATTCTACAAAATAATCACTTTTAATGCTTCAGAACATCTCCCTCATATTAGATAGACACATGGATAGATGGAGAGATAAATGGAAACATGGAGATGGGTGGATGAATGAATAAGTGGGTATATGGATGGGTGGGTAGATGAATGACAAAGATTGGTGGATGAGTGGTTAGAAGGGATGGAGGGACAGGTGTGTGGATTGTTGGGAGAGTAGATAGAAGGATGGATGGGTGAATGGATGAATGGATGGATGGATGGATGAGTGGATGAATGAGTGGATGGAGGGAAGGGTGAGTGGATGAATGGATGGAGGAATGGATAGATGGAGGGATGAATGGATGGATGATAGATGGGTGGGTGGATGGATGGACTGGAGGGATGGATGGATGGATAAATGGGCAGATGAGCAAGTGGATGGAGGGATGGATGGATGGATGGGTGAGGGATGAATGAAGGAATGGATGGATGGATGGATGATAGATGGGTGGGTGGATGGATGGACCGGTTGGATGGACGGATGGATAAATGGGCATATGAGTGAGTGGATAGCGGGATGGATGGACAGATGGGTGAGTGGATGAACAGATGGAGGAATGGATGGATGGATGATCAATGGTGGGTGGATGGATGGATGGATGGGCAGATGAGTGAGTAGATGGAGGGAAGGAGGGAGGGATGGATGGATGGACAGATGGGCGAGTGGATGGAGGGATGGAGGGATGGATGATAGATGGGTGGGTGGATGGATGGACTAGATGAATGGATGGATGGACAGATAAGCGAGTGGATGGATGGATGGATGGATGATAGATGGGTGGGTGGATGGATGGACTAGATGAATGGATAAATGGATGGATGCATGGACAGATGAGCAAGTGGATGGAGGGATGGATGGATGGGTGGATGATAGGTGGGTGGGTGGATGGATGGATTGGGTGGATGGATGGGGAGATGGGTGAGTGGATGGAGGGATGGATGGATGGATGGATGGATGGATGGATGGATGGATAGATGGGGAGATGAGTGAGTGGATGGATGGATGGATGGATGGGGAGATGAGTGAGTGGATGGAGGGAGGGAGAGATAAATATAAGGCCAGCAATCTAAGAACAAACCTTACAAGAAGTGGACAAACTGTGCCTGAAGCAAAATCACAAAACATTCTAAGAATAGGAAGGAACCCTTGGGAAAATGGGGAGGAAATCCCTGACATAAGATGGTAAATACAGTCAAGTAAACGCTGTCAAGACGCTCCTTCCCTCCAGATCAGTTTACAGACTTCACATGAAATCTAACCCACAAGGGGCTCCAGGTCTGTGTTTTCCTTCCCCTCTGCTTCCCTTTTTCTTTCTTGGAACTTGGCTACAGTTTTTAAACTTTTAGAGAAGTAAACAAAGCAAGAGTACTTTTGAAAAATGGAAAAGAAGAATTACTCTGGAGGAAATAGTCACAGACTTGGTTGGTTTGTTTGGTTTTTTTTTTGAGACAGGGTCTTGCTCTTGCCCAGGCTGGAGTACAGTGGCACAATCATGGCTCACTGCATTCTCGAACTCCTGGGGTCAAGTGATGCTGCCACCTCAGCCTCCCAAGTCGCTGGGACTACAAGTGAGTGCCACCACGCCCAGCCAGTTTTTCTTTTTCTTTTCTTTTTTGGTAAAGACAGGGACTTGCTCTGTTGCCCATGCTGGCCTCTAACTCCTGGCTTCAAGCAAGTCTTCTGCATCAACCGCCCAAAGCTCTGGGTTTATAGACATGAGCCACCAAACCTGGCTAAGAAATTTTATCTGTATTTTTTTGGATAAAAGTTTTATCTCGGTCACATTCTCAGAGCCCAGCATAGCACCTGGTTCTTAGGAGATGGACAGAATGCATTCGGAAGTCAGTGAATGGGCAGCTTAGGTAGGGAAGATGGATTTGAAGGCCATGTAAGGAGTTAAAGGGATGGGACTCAGTCATTGATCAAGTGTAGCAACGAGAGAGAGAAAGCTTCCCAGCTCTACTGAGGTCAGGCTGTGAGCTCAGAGCAAAGGCTGCAGTGCATCTTGGGAGCAGCTGCATCACTGTAAACACAGTGCTGACCTTTCTGTCAGCCTCAATTTCTCTCTCTGCAAGTTAGGAATCCTAACAGTGTTCATCTGATGGGGTCACTGAGGAGATGGCAGTTCACACCAAGCATCTAGCTCACAGCACAGTACTCCACCTTTCAGAAACATTAGCTCGGCCAGACGAGGTGGCTCACGCCTGTAATCCCAGCACTTTGGGAGACCAAGGCGGGTGGATCACCTGAGGTCAGGAGTTCAAGACCAGCCTGGCCTCCTCTCAACACAGAGAAATCCCATCTCTACTAAAAATACAAAAATTAGCTGGGTGTGGTGGCAGGCAACTGCAATCCCAGCTACTTTGGAGGTTGAGGCAAGATAATTAATTGCTTGAACCCAGGAGGTGGAGATTGCAGTGAACCGAGATTGTACCACTGCACTCCAGCCTGGGCAACAGAGTAATCCCAGCACTTTCGGAGACCAAGGTGGGAGAATTGCTCTCCCCAGGAGAACTGCTCCTGGCAGTATGCCCTATCTAGGACAACCTGCCAACATCTCTAAAACTTCTCTCTCTCTCTCTCTCTCTCTCTCTCTCTCTCTCTCTCTCTCTCTCTCTCTCTCTCTCTCTCTTTCTCTCTCTGTCTCTCTAATAAAGACAGAATCTCACTATGTTGCCCAGGCTATTCTCAAACTCCTGAGCTCAAACAAAAGATAGATAGATAGATGATAGATAGATAGATAGATAGATAGATAGATAGATAGATAGATTAGTTCAAGGCCTCCTCTAGGAGAGATGAGGTCAGACCGTTCCTCCGGCAGCAAGGCCCTCCAGCATGCGGAAGAACTTCAGAGGTTTGTGCAGAAGACAGACTATCCAGGGAAAGCGTTTTCAACAAAGCAAGTGCCAAGGAGGCACGTGTCTACAGCGAAGCTGTGGCCTTTAAAAGCCTCCAGCCTCCCCTCCTGGCGCATACACAGGGAAGCCTACTCCCTTGGCCAGAGCCAGGAGCCAGGAGCCACACCAGCTCACTGATTTCCAGAAACTCACAATTGCCCACTTACTTGGTACACCCTGCATGCCACTGAGGAAAGTGGAAAGGAGGGATATCCCCGGAACATTCTGGCAGCTCAGCAAAGAGGGAGGGAAAATGAGTTCCAGATCCTGAATTTGCATCTGTGAATGCTGTTTTTGTTCAAACACTTTGTGTTGTCCCCACCCCCCTTTCTTTTTCTTTGTCTTTTTTGAGATGGAGTCTTACCCTGCCCCCCACGCTGGAGTGCAGTGGTGCAATCTCTGCTCACTGCAACCTCCACCTCCCAAGTTCAAGTGATTCTCCTGCCTCAGCCTCCCCAGTAGCTGGGATTACAGGCACGCACCACAACACCTGGCTAATTTTTGTATTTATAGTAGAGATGGGGTTTCACCGTGTTGGTCAGGCTGGTCTTGAACTCCTGACCTCAAGTGATCTGCCCACCTTGGCCTCCCCTAGTGCTGGGATTGCAGATGTGAGCCACGGCACCCAGCCCTGTGTTGTCTTGACAGAGTTCAAAGTCACTGGGTGTTGAGGCTGTATATCCACCACCCAACAAACTGCCATGCATCCTTTACCCTCAGATTTTTGCTTTTTGAATCTTAACTGCTCCTGGCAATAAACCCCATCTAGGATAACCTGCCAGCATTCCTTAAACCTCTCTCTCTCTCTCTCTCTCTGTAATAGAGACAAAATTCTCCCACCTCGGCCTCCCAAAGTGCTTGGATTACAGGCATGAGCCACTGCACCCGGCCACAGTTTTCAAACAATACTCTTCTTAAGCCACGTCTCACATTCTCATGTGCCATACCTTTTGAATGAAGCTAATGATTTCTTTCTCTACTCTCTTCTTCAATAAGACCAAACTAAATGATAATCATCAACAATGGTGTTAATAATCATAGTAAGACGTCATTCCTGGGGGTATTGGGAAAGAGCTGGGAAGAGCTGGGTTGAGGAGATGTTCTCCATTTTGTTTTCAGTGGTGGTTACACACGTGCATATAATTTTTGTCAAAATTCATTGAACCGAATGCTTAAGATCTGTGCATTTTATTTTATTTTGAGACAGAGTCCCTCTGCCGCCCTGGCTGGAGTACAATGGCCCGATCTCAGCTCACTGCAACCTCTGCCTCCTGGGTTGAAGTGATTCTCCTGTCTCAACCTCCCAAGTAGCTGGGATTACAAGCATGCGCCATCACATCCAGCTAATTTTTGTATTTTTAGTAGAGAAGGGGTTTCACCATGTTGGCCAGGCTGGTCTCAAACTCCCGACCTCAAGTGATCCTCCTGCCTCGGCCTCCCAAAGTGCTGTGATTACAGGCATGAGCCACCAAGGCCCACCATGGGCATTTTATCATAAGTTAAATATTTCAGTTGTTAAAACAATAGCAGCAGCTACAACAGGATCACAATGTATAACTGCAGTGTAGCTACATGACTAGCAACAATGTAACTTGTTAAACATAACCAAAGGAATAGCAGCAGATACAACAGGATCACAATGTATAACTAGCAACAATGTCACTACCAAACCTCTTCTCCAATCCTCACAACAAGCTTGTGATACATTTTGCATTTTGTTTGGTTGTGGTTTTTTTGAAACAGTCTCTCTCTGTCACCCAGGCTGGAGCGCAGTGGTGGGATCTCAGCTCACTGCAACCTCTGCTTCCTGCTTTCAAGCGATTCTCCTGCCTCAGTCTCCAGAGTAGCTGGGATTACAGGTGCCATGGCTGGCTAATTTTTGTATTTTTAGTAGGTGTTGGCTAGGCTGGTCTCTAACTCCTGACTCAAGTGATCCACCGGCCTTGGCTTCCCAAAGTGCTGGGATTACAGGTATGAGCCACCACGCCTGGCCTGTGATACCTTTTAGTTCCCATTTTACAGAAGAGGAAACAGTGATCCCAGAGAACTCCAGTGAAGTTGCTCAGGGTCCCAAGGCTACTAATGGTTATAAACCATAGTACTACCCTGTGTGTCCTGGCATGAGTCACAATGGCCAGAAGGTGGAAGCAACTCAAATGTGCATTAATAGATGAATTCTAAAAAAAAAAAAAAAAAAAAAAGAAAGAAAGAAAAAAGAAAAAGGTTAAGATGCTCAATTTTATGATGCATGTTCTATTACAAGAACAAAGAAAAAACCAATTAGAGATTTAAAGAAGAGCCACTGAAGATATTCAAACATCAGCATCTCAAAAAAAAAGAAGGACACCCATTGGTCTAACTGGGTTTCTATCTAGTTACTATTTCAAGTGAGAAAAGCAAAGTACACATTGAAATGCTGGGTAAAGAAATGTAATGACAGGCCAGACATGGTAGCTCAAGCCTGTAATCCTGAAACTTTCGGAGGCCAAGGTGGGCAGATCACAAGGTCAGGAGTTCAAGACCAGCCTGGCCAACATAGTAAAACTATGGTCTCTACTAAAAAAAAATGCAAAAAAATTAGACAGGCATGGTGGTGTGTGCCTGTAGTCCCAGCTACTTGGGAGGCTGAGGCAGGAGAATTGCTTGAACCCCAGAAGTGGAGGTTGCAGAGAGCCAAGATCACACTGCTCACTCCAGCCTAGGCAACAGAGTGAGACTTCACCTCAAAAACGAAAAAATTCAATGACAGCAGCAAAGTATTTCCAACATTTCAATCCCCTGTGCACCTCTTTGTGACAGTTGCCATTGCAGAGTCCCTGAAGAAAAAGGCCCAGCCCCCACCCCAAAACAGCTCCCAGGGAAAGCGGAGGAAGATGTAGGAAGATATGGCTAAGAACCATACAGAGAGATTCTCAGTCTTACCAGGAATCAAGGAGATGCAAGAGAAAGCCGTGGCATACCAATTTCCATGCACTTTGGAATTACCATAAAATTAACATCATTTCCCTGCAGCTTTGCCCACGATTGGCCTATACTTTAATGCACCACTGGTGGAACTGTACGCTGTTACAGCCACCTTGGTGATCATTTGGGAAGTATATCCTAGGCCTAAAAATGCACATACCCCATCTCCCAGTCACTTCAATTCTGAACATCAATCCTAGAAAACCATTCACAAATGGGTAGGAGGAGACTGACACCAAGATGTTCATTTCAGCATTGTTTATAAAAGAAACAAACTGGAAACAATCTCAATGCCTTCTTCCACTAGGGGGGTGAGTAGCATGTGGCTTATTCATACAAGATACGACATAGCACGTAAATGAATGAACTAGCAGTACCAAATCAAGAAGTATAAACTTAAGGAACATATTGGCTGAGAGGAAAAAAAAGCATCTGGCTTAAGAATTCATGCAGCAGGTGTAGAAATCTGAATTACACACACACAAAAATCGTGTGTGTGCATGGTGAGGGGGATCGCTGAGTATTTTTAAAGACTAGATCCATTACGGTAGGACCAGCGTGTGTGGTCAGTCAGAACTGAAATGTGCTTTAAGTGCAAAATACACTTAAAGTGGCTTCCCAAGGGATCATATTGCTTAGCTTCAATATATGCAGATCTTGAGAATACTCAAAAGTGTATTCCAATATAAATGGCAGCGTTTAATGCCAGTGAACTGTATACTTCAAAAGGGTTAGGATGGCACATTTTATGATGTATATTTTCTTACAACAAACGATTTGAAGAAAGATTTATGCCAGGAGCTGTGGCTCATGCCTGTAATCCCAACACTTTCGGAGGCTGAGGCAGGTGGATTACCTGAAGTGAGGAGTTTGAGACTAGCCTGGCCAACATAGTGAAACCCTGTCTCTACAAAAATGCAAAAATTAGCTGAGTGTAGTGGTGGACACCTGTAATCCCAGCTACTCAGGAGGCTGAGGCAGGAGAATTGCTTGAACCTGGGAGGTGGAGGCTGCAGTGAGCTGAGATTGTGTCACTGCACTCCAGCCTGGGTGACAAGAGCAAAACTCCTTGTCAATCAATCAATCAATCAATAATTATAAAGATGTAAAGAATAACCAAAGATATCCCAAAATCTAGAACCCTAAATGCTCCAAAATTTCCTGATCCAGAAATCCAGAATCCTAAATGCTCCAAAATTCAAAACTTCTTGAGTGCTGACATGACAGAAGTGGAAGAAAATTCCATACCTGACCTCATGTGACAGGTCACAGTCAGCACAGTCAAAACCAAGCTTCCTGCACAAAGTTACTCAAAATATTGTACAGGATTACCTCCAAGCTCTGTGTATAAGGTGTATACGAAACATAAATGAATTTGATGTTTGGACCTGGGTCTCAGCCCCACAGTACCTCATTACATATAGGCAAATATTCCAAAACCTGAAATAAAATCCCAAGTTGGAAACACTGCTAGTCCCAAGCATTTTGGATAAGGGATACTGAACCCGTGTACAGCATTGATGCATACAAGCTTATGTGTCAAAAATATATGCAGGGCTGGAAGTTTATGTACCAAAGTTAAGACAATTGTTACCTCTGGGAAGAAGGGAAGAGAATATGGCAAGGGAAGATGACAGAGAGCAACAGTATCTTACATTTTATTACTTTCACTTATTTACTTATGATTTTGTTTCATTTTATTTTATTGTTTATTTATTATTATTATTTTTTGAGACAGACTGGAATGCAATGGCACAATCTTGGCTCACTGCAACCTCTGCCTCGCAGGTTCAAGCGATTTTTCTGCCTCAGCCTCCCAAGTACCTGGGATTACACACACCATCATGCCTGGCTAATTTTTGTATGTTTGTAGATACAGGGTTTCACCATGTTGGCCAGGCTGGTCTCAAACTCCTTGTCTCAAGTGATCCGCCCACCTCCACCTCCCGAAGTATTGGGACTACAGGCATAAGCCACTGCGCCCGGCCAATCCTCCCACTTTAGCCTCCTGAATCGCTGTTGAGTACAGGTGTGCACCACCATGACTGGCTTTTTCTTTATATGAGACACAGGTCTGATAAAAAGGCATGTGACTTGGGTGTTTATCCTGGTCCCCTGACATCTGCTCTACAAATGAGTCACCTGCCCAGACTCATGCACTGTGCCCGTGAAAAATCCTGACTCAGTTTACCCAAAATACCTGTCACGCACCCAATAAGCACCCTGCTCCCAGCCCCCAGCCCTGTTGCTCTGCATTTCCCCAGCAAGAACCCCCCCAGGCATACAGAGAGCAAGGCAAGTAAACCCAAATGCAGGCTCTGGAAGTCCATCCCGAGAGCCCAGGTCATTGGTAACTGGGCCCTGCTACCAGGTGGCCATCCCAAACATCTGCTTTCAGAGTCTATCACCTCCACCTCCAAGGGTTTATGCAATCTGTACTTAGTGCTATGAAGAAGAGAATGAATGAAGTAGGAGGACCAGAGCCCTGCTGGTTTCAGCTTATATTTGCACAGGATTTCACAAAGCTGACAAAAGAGCTTCACGCTCCACATCTCAGTGGATTCCCATGACAGCCCTGTTGGTAAGTGCAAGTCAGTCACAGGCAGCTAAGCAGCCAAGGTGCTCAGCTGTTTCCCTCCCTCCCTCCCTCCCTTTGTCTCTTTCTTTCAGCAGAGTCTTGCTCTGCCACCCAGGATATTGTGAGCCCAATCTCGGCTCATTGCAGCCTCTGCCTCCTGGGTTCAAGTGATTCTGTTGCCTCAGCCTCCTGAGTAGCTGGAACTACAGGCATGCTCCGCCACACCCGGCTAATTTTTGTATTTTTGGTAGAGATGGGGTTTTGCTAAGCTGGCCAGGCTGGTCTCGAACTCCTGGCCTCAAGTGATCTGCCTGCCTCAGCCTCCCAATGTGTTGGGATTACAGGCATGAGCCACCATGCTCAGCCAAAAGAGAGGGTTAATAGATTCAAGAGGTAAGGGCAGATTCAACATAGGCATAATAAGTATTACAGAGCTTCATTTTCCTTGTTTTATTTCATTTTGTATTTTTTGAGATGGAGTCTCGTTCTGTCACCCAGGCTGGAGTGCAGTGGCATGATCTCGGCTCACTGCAACCTCCAGCTCCTGGGTTCAAGGGATTCTCCTGCCTCAGCCTCCCAAATAGCTTGGACTACAGGTAGGCTCCACCACGCCCAGCTCATTTTTGTATTTTTAGTAGAGATGCGGTTTCACCATGTTGGCCAGGATGGTCTTGATCTCTTGACCTTGTGATCTGCTTGCCTTGGCCTCCCAAAGTGCTGGGATATCAGGTGTGAGCCACCGTGCCCAGCCAATTAATTTATTTTTTTTAAAAGACAGGGTCTTGCTCTGTCGCCCAGGCTAGAGAGCAGTGGTGCGATCATAGGTGACTGCAGCCTCTAACTTCTGGGCTCAAGCCATCCTCCCACCTCGGCCTCCTGAGTAGTTGGGACTATGGGCACATTTAAATGTTTTTTTGCAGGTGCAAGATCAAACTGTAGTATCTAGGAATGGAACTTGGGTTGTCAACTATACAGTAACGCAAGGCAGTGATTACTATAAAAGTGAGAGCAGTGGTGAGTTTAGGGGAAGAGAAGGGCTGGGACTGCAGTGTGGTCCATGGAGGTCCATGGGTGAGCAACAGCAAATCGATACTTCCTGAAATGAATGAAGGCAACAAGGGTTCGCCCCAGAGCAGGAGTTCTCAACAACGGAAGAGGGAGCATTGTTGCCCAGCGGACACTTGACAGTGTCTGGAGACAGTTTTGGTTGTCATGACTTGGGGTTGCTACTAGTATTGAGTGGTGGAGGCCAGGGACGCTTCTAAGCTTCCTACAATGTACAGGGCAGTCTCTACCACAGAGAGGGATCCAGTCCAGGATGCTAATACTGTGGAGGCTGAGAAACCCTGCCTAAGCTCATTAACTTTAAAAAAGAAGAAAACAAACTAGGTGCAGTGACACAAGCCTGTAATCCCAGCACTTTGAAAGATTGAGGTAGGAGGATTGCTTGAGGTCAGGAGTTTGAAACCAGCCTGGCCAACATGGTGAAATCCCGTCTCTACTAAAAATACAAAAATTAGCTGGGCATGGTGGCGGGCACCTGTAATCCTAGCTACTCGTGAGACTGAGGCAGGAGAATCACTTGAACCCAGGAGGCAGAGGTTGCAGTGAGCCAAGATCGTGCCAGTGCACTCCAGCCTGGGTGACAGACTGAGACTCCATCCGAAAAAAGAAGAAAGAAGGAAGAAGAGGAAGGAGAAGGAGGAAGGAGAAGAAGAAGAAGAAGAAGGAGAAGGAGAAGGAGAGGGAGAAGAAGAAGAAAACAAGCTGGATGTACTGGCATGTTGCTGTAGTCCCAGCTGCTTGGGAGGCTGAAGCATGAGGATCCCTTCAGCCCAGGAGTTCGAGGCCATGGTGTACTATGGCTGCGTTTCTGAATAGCCACTGTACTGGGCGACATAGTACATATCTTTTCAAACATTCTTTCTAAAAACGGCAAATTTTATGTTATGTGTGACTTTTACCATAAATAAAAATGTTTTAAAAATAATAAAAGTACCCTGTCTCTACTAAAAATACAAAAAATTAGCTGGGCATGGTGGCGCGTGCCTGTAATCCCAGCTACCCAGGAGGCTGAGGCAGTAGAATTGCCTGAACCCAGGAGGCAGAGGTTGCTGTGAGCCGAGATCTCGCCATTGCACTCCAGCCTGGGTAACAAGAGTGAAACTCCGTCTCATAAAAAGAATAAATAAATAAAATAAACAATAATAATAAAAGTTCGGCAGGTGTGGTGGCTTATGCCTGTAATCCCAGCACTTTGAGAGGCTGGGGCAGGCAGGTGGATCACTTGAGGTCAGGAGTTTGAGACCAGCCTGGCCAACATGGTGAAACCTCATCTCTACTAAAAATACAAAATTAACCAGGTGTGGTGGTGCTTGCCTATAATCCCAGCTACTCAGGAGGCTGAGGCAGGAGAATCGCTTGAACCCCGAAGGTGGAGGTTGCAGTGAGCCGAGATTGCACCACTGCACTCCAGCCTGAATGACAGAGCGACAGTCTGTCAAAAACACAAAACAAAACAAAACAAAACCTACATCTATGGTGTAATATGTGAAACCAAAAATATCTGCATGTTGTATACCACAGAAGCTATTTATAAATGAAAATTTTGGCCTAAGAAAAGAAAGAAAAAGAATTCAAATCAGGACCAATCTGAAAAGCAGCACCCTGTTTTCTGCATTAGTCTACTGCTACAGCAGAGAAAAATGAGGTCTCGGGAAGTGGGACAGCTCCTTTGGGCCAATGTTAGCAATATTACCAAGCCAACCCCCCCAGCACCGACACACACCACTCTTAGTCATGAGCAATAAGACATACAAGGAACACAGACTCCAGATGGCAGATTTAAAAACATTATTAGATTTCCAATGAAAACTTCTGCTATAGTGCTTCTAATGTGATACAGTCCTATAAAAATAAAGATGAATCATGGCCCATTTGGAAGGAAAGTTCTGACTGCCTTACGTCACAGCCAGTCACACACTGTTTTCTTATTTATTTATTTATTTATTTTTTTTTTTGAGACAGAGTTTAGCTCCATTGCCCAGGCTGGAGTGCAGTGGCACGATCTCAGCTCACTGCAACCTCCGTCCCCAACCCTGGGTTCAAGCAATTCTCCTGCCTCAGTCTCCCAAGTAGCTGGGATTACAGGCGCCCACCACCACACCCAGCTAAGTTTTGTATTTTTAGTAGAGACGTGGTTTCACCATGTTGGCCAGGCTGGTCTCAAACTCCGGACCTCTAGTGACCACCTTGGCCTCCCAAAGGGCTGGGGTGACAGGTGTGAGCTACTGCACTCTGCCTACTTTTTTTTTTAAGTTATCAAAGAATTACTTTCCCCAAAAAATGGCACCATAAAATTTGTCAATGAATACTCAGTTACCTGCTATTTCATTTTATATGGCTAGAACATAATAAATTATCAAAACGGGTGAAGAGGTTGCAAAGGAAAACAAACCAAGAACAGCCCAGTTTCACGCGTGAATACAGACGGCAAGAATTCAACAAATGAAACAAAGCAAACCTAGCAAATCGAATTGAACATTATGCTGAAAGAATAATTCATCACCACCAAGTAGGGTTTACCGCAGGAAAGCAAGGATGATTTTCTATTAGGAAGTCTATTAAACATGGATGTCAGATAATTCCATTGTTAAATATTTAATATTAGTCTAGAAGCCCTGGTCAATAAAATAAGATTTAAAACTGAAATAAGAGAGATGACTTTTAGACATCGTTTTTCTATGCTTCCATATCTGAGCAGACATAACTTCTTTAAATGACCGTAATTTGTAGAGGACAAAATTGCATACAATAGATAAAACAATTAAAAAACCTACCAATCAATTTCACTAAAGGACCTGGATTCAGTGTAAATATGCTATTCACAGGAGCAATAACTAACACAAGAAAACTCTGTGATACAGAAATCAGGAATCGCCATAACAAAAATGTACAGGGTAAAGACAAAAAAGAGACAATATAAAAGATTTGAACAGATGGGCTGGGTGAGGTGGCTCATGCCTGTAATCGCAGCACTTTGGGAGGCTGAAGTGGACAGATCACTTGAGACCAAGAGTTCAAGACCAGCCTGGCCAACATGGTGAAACCCTATCTCTACTAAAAACACAAAAATTAGCCAGGTGTGGTGGTGGGCACCTGTAATCCCAGCTACTTCGTAGTCTGAGGCAGGAGAATTGCTTGAATTCAAGAGGCAGAGCTGAGATCACCCCAGTGTACTCCAGCCTGGGTGGCAGAGCGAGACTCCAACTCAAAGAAAAAAAAAGAAATATTTGAACAGATGGAAGAGGACATCCCATACCTGCCTGGAAAGGAAAAATACGAAGGTATTTATTTCTTAATTTATGAATTTTAACCCATTTTCCATTTGTCCCAAGAATAGTGGACAGAGGTCCACTAATCCTAATGTATAATCCTAATTATAGACATTTCTGTTACATTAAGAGTAGAGACAAGTTCTGTTTAGAAATAACTCCAAGAATCATTTTTTATATTTTCTCACATTGAAAATCAGGCAGATTTGCTTCAGCTTCGAAGAACATGTTTATGTGAAATTAAATGAGCCCTGGCAGTGAGTTGCACTTTTTTTTCTGTGGGAAATGGGTTACATTTTAAATTACATTTTTAAATCAATATCTCAATGAGTTTTATATGAGGACGAGAGCAGGGAGTGATTTAGTTCATCCAGAAAAGGAAACACTTTTCTAAAAATGTGTAATAGGGAAAAAAACCTAGATTTGCCACTTCATAAAGCATGTTCTTATCAGGCATGAGCTTGTAGTCCCAGCTACTTGGAGGCTAAGGCAGGAGGATCACTTGCACCCAGGAGTCTGAGTCCAGTCTGGGTAACACAAGTGAACCCCCATTCTTTTCTTCAGAGACGGAGTCTCACTCCGTCACCGAGGCTTGAGTGCAGTGACACGATCTCAGCTCACTGCAACCTCCACCTCCCGGGTTCATGCAATCCTCCTGCCTTAGGCTCCCAAGTAGCTGGGACTACAGGCACACACCATCACACCTAGCTAATTTCTGTATTTATACTAGTGGGGTTTCTCCATTTTGGCCAGGCTGGTCTCAAACTCCTGACTTCAAGTGATCCACCCACCTTGGCCTTCCAAAGTGCTGGGATTACAGGCGTGAGCTGCAGCATTCAGCTGAGCTCAATGCCTTTTAAAAAAAAAGTAAAAGCCACATGTTCTGAATCTATAAACACAATGGTACCCGGGCAAGATTAAGGCACAGAGGACTTGAAATAGAATTGATATCCCAAATGTAAATTCATGGTTTTGGCTGAATGTAATACCTGATGAGGAAAACTTCAAGAATTACTGAGGAAAGAATTCATTATTCAATAATTGGAATTCATAAAAATTAAATTACTACCCAAAAAAATCATTTAATGTCTTCAGTCACACCATACACAGTCCTGAAGTGCAATTGAGCTCCAAATCCTGGTTAAAATGTTCTTGTACCCATGAACCTGAAATAAAGAATTTTTAAAAAATGTTTTATGAGTCCCACTGTGTTTCCCACCCCAGGGTTCTTTAGCAGATGGCCACAAATTCTTCCCCTCCCATCAACAGGTAAAGACTATATTCTCCCTTTCCCTCCCAGCTCACCTTAGCCAATGGAACATTAGCACACAACATGCAAACAGAAACTTGAAAGGCACTGTGCACTGGAAATTGATCTCTTGCCACTCTTGGAGTGCTGAGACCATCATGTAATCTAAGCCCAAACTAGCCAACTAGAAGATGAGCAGCTCCAGAGAGGAAAACCAAGGCCTCCCAGCTGACAGCCAGCACCAACCACCAGACATGTGAGTGAGGCCATGCTAAACCATTTAGCTACCAGACAACCCACTGTTTGATCCCAGACATTAGTGAGAACAGGGTCTGTCTGTTTATGGTCAGCTGGTGGGTCTACATAAGAAAACTTGCCCAGCCACCTCACAGAATCATGAGCTAAATATATGAATGTTGATTAAGCCATTATGTTTCAGAGAAGTTTGTTACACAGCAAAAGCTAGCTGATACAAACTCAAAGCCCTGTGTTGTCCCAGTTAACACCCTACCCCCACCTCATTGTTTAAGTGAGTCCAAATAGATTCCCATTACTGGCAATCATGTGTTGACTGAGACACTCAGTGCTGAGCCAGGAAGACAAACTCAACTGGGGTTCTATCCCCCAGCCCCTTCCCCATCCTTAATCCACTTCCTCAATACCCACAATGATTTTACTCCACTTAAGCTGAAATGCACTGTTCTCTGTTCCCAGAGAGAAGCCAGGAAGGAACTGACACATTCCTCATTCTTGGTCACCCATAGACAAGACACTCTGAGCCTCGGTCAACACACCTCCTCCTTCCTTGTTCCTCTTGTTGTTTAGATGCGCCTATAATGGCCTCTTTGTCGTGATCAACTTTCCCAGGCCACTCCTTCGTCTATTCCGGGGACTCTCAAGGGGTAGAGAGGTTGAAAAAACATCCAATGGTATATTTTATACTTAGAGGAAAAAGAAAAAGAACAAACTCCAAGTAGGGAAGAGAAATTGGATTTTTAATTTTTATCAAAAGGGGATATACTAGTTCGAAGTTGAGGAAAACCTTGGAGACAGGCTCCCTTAATTTTTTCCTCATGATAGAAGAGAAAACAGACTTCAGAAAAGCTAGACAACTTGATCAAGGTCACAAAACAGATACAGTATTCAAATGCAGGCCTGTCTGACTCCAGAACTGTCTTTAATCCCGGAATGAAGTGTTCTAAGGCATAGACACCCAACGCAACTTTCTGCGGCGATAGTAACATTCTGTGTCTGCAGTGTCTAAATGCGGTCAGTACAACTCAGGTCCAAATATCTAATTTTAATGAATTTCTACTTAAATTGCCACATGTGGCTGTGGCTGACAAGGTAATTCTAGAATGTCACTAAGTTGGTTCTATATCACTATCAAGAGCAGGACCCAGACAGGTGAAGTGGCTCGTGCCTATAATTCCAGAATTTTGGGCCAAGACAGGAGGATCACTTGAGCCCAGGAGTTCAAGACCAGCTTGGGTAACATAGCAAGTTTCCATCTTTTATTTTTTAGTTTTCAGACCGGGTCTCTGTTACCCAGGCTGGAGTGCAGTGACATGATCTTTGCTCACTGCAGCCTCAACCTCCCAGGCTCAAGCTATCCTCCCACCTCATCCTCCCAAGCAGCTGGGACTACAGGCATGCACAACCACACCTGGCTCATTTTGCAAAAATATATATTTTTTAAATTAGCCAGACACAGTGGTTCATGCCTGTAGTCCCAGCTATTTGGGAGGCTGAGGTATGAGGATTGCTTAAGCCTGAAAGGTTGAGGCTGCAGTGAGCTGTGATTGCATCACTGCACTCCGGCCTGGGCAACAGAGGGAGACCCTGTCTCAACAAAGAAAAAAGTACAATCCTCAATATACATACCCACCCACCCAGAAGTGGCAACTGAAAGATTTAAGACCTTATGGGAAAATAAAGTTATGACCAAACCCGGGAAAGCCCTTTGTAACTATTCTAATGTCCTGCAAAATACAATAAACAACCCATGCTGTTCGACATTTACTGAGTTAGCAAGAACAAGTTCTGAAGAATGGATTGCCCTTGACTATTCCTGGCTTGCCAGATTTTTTTCAAGGTCTTTGTCAACCTGGGGAAAACTTAGAAATGTGTTCACCAGGCCAGATGCAGTGGTTCACGCCTATAATCCCAGCACTTTGGGAGGTGGAAGAGGGCAGATCACTAGGTCAGGAGTTTGAGACCATCCTTGCCAACATGGTGAAACCCTGTCTCTACTAAAAATACAAAAATTAGCCAGGTGTGGTGGTGCACACCTATAATCCCAGCTACTCAGGAGGCTGAGATAGGAGAATGGCTTGAACGCGGGAGGCAGAGGTTGCAGTGAGCCAAGATTGCACCACTGCACTCCAGCCTGGGCAACAGAGCAAGACTCTATCTCAAAAAGAAGAAGAAGAGGAAGAAGAAGGAGAAGGAGGAGGAGGATGAGAAGGAGAAGGAGAAGGAGAAGGAGAAGGAGAAGGAGAAGAAGAAGCATGTTCACCACTGTGTGGGCAACGTTCGTGCTTTGGGTCAAAAGAAAAATCATCCAAGTCATTTTCTGACTTATTTGATTCTCTTATTTGTAGCTCTTATGATCTGGGTCTACTTTAGCCACCTGGATCTCTCCTCCCAAGAATCAGTGTCAACATGACGACATGTCCTTCACTTTATCACGTCACATGATGCTTATTTTGCATGATATCCAATGCCCACTGTTGATATCTGCAATTCCCAACAGAAGACACTTAGACATATGATGTTCCCATGGCCAGATGCCCCCAGTTCCAGTCAAACCACACCCCTGTCTCTCTTCTCTCTCTCTCTCTCTCTTTTTTTTGGGGGGGGGGACTCTTGCTTGCTCTGTCACCCAGACTGGAGTGCAGTGGTGCAATCTCAACTCACCACAACCTCCACCTCCAGAGTTCAAGTGAGTCTCCTGCCTCAGCCTCCGTGTAGCTGGGACTATGGGACTATAGACATGCACCACCACGCCTGGATAATTTTTGTATTTTTAGTAGAGACGGGGTCCCACCAGATTGGCCAGTCTGGTTTTGAACTCCTGACCTCAAGTGATCCACCTGCCTTGGCCTCCCAAAGTGCTGGGATTATAGGCGTGACCTACCATGCCCATCCCCCCCCAGCCCCACAGCACCCAGGTATCTTTTGAAGCCACCCTTTCAGAACTAAGTCTGTGAAGAACTTCACCGTCCTCTGAACTACACTGGCAAACTTAACAGCATCCTCCAGCTTTTTTTACTGCATCAAATTCATCCCTCCTGGGAAGCTCTTTCCTTTCAGAGGTTCAGCCATCACTTTCCCAGTGACATCTGTGGTGACGTCTTCTGCCTATTCCATCTTCTGTACCACCAGGAATCCTAAGATAAACCTCTTGCTTTTTTCTCACCCTAATAAAATTCCTTTGCAAATAACCTTCATATCTTTCTTGCTTATAAAAATAATTTTCTTAGCAAAACTTGCCTTCGTCAGAAACACAAAGTTTTGTTATGAGGTTGGGTCTGTGCCCTGTTTGTCAGACACTAAAACAAGGGAGGCCCAACAGCACCATTTCACCGCAGAACAAAATGCTCAGACGTAATCCCTGTACAGCTTTATTACTTAAGTATGAACTCTAGACAAATATTTCAGTCTTGTGCATTAAAAAAGGGGGGTACACCTGTAATCCCAGTGAATTGGGGGAGGGGAGGGTGCTAGAACTGCTTGAGCCCGGGAGTTCAAAACCAGCCTGGCCAATATAATGAGACTCTATCTGTACAAAAAATAAATTTAAAAAAATTAGCTGGGATTAGGCACAGTGGCTCATGCCTATAATCCCAGCACTTTGGGAGGCTGAGGCAGGCAGATCACTTGAGGTCAGAAGTTCGAGACCAGGCTGGCCAAACATGGCAAAACCCGTCTCTAACAGAAGTACAAAAATTAGGTGAGCATGGTGGCATGTGCCTATAATTCCAGCTACTCAGGAGGCTGAAGCAGGAGAATCATTTGCCCCCAGAAGGTGGAGGCTGCAGTGAGCTGAGATCACGCCACTGCACTCCAACCTGGTCGACAGAGTGAGACTCCATCTAAAGCAAACAAAAAAATATTTAACTGGGCATGGGTGCAGACACCTGTAGTTCCAGCTACTCGGGAGGCTGAGGTAGGAGGATAGCTTAAGGCCAGGAGTTCAAGACTGCCATGAGCTATGATCATGCTACTGTACTCCAGCCTGGGTGATAGAGCAAGACCCTGTCAAGAAAAGAAAGGAAGGGAAAAGAGAAAAGAAGAAAAGGAAGGGAAGGGAAGGGGTAGGGAAGGGGAAGGAAGAGGGAGGAAAGGAGGAAAAGGGAGGGAAAAGAAAGGGAGGGGAGGGAATGGAAAGGAAAGGAAGAGAGAGAAACAGAGGGAGAGAAAAGGAAAGAGGAAGAGAGAGGGAAAGAAGGGAGGTAAGAAATAAAGAGAAAAGAAAGAAGGAGAGAAAGTGGGAGAAAGGGAGGGAGGGAGAGATGGAAGGACGGGAGGAAATAAAGAGAAAGAATGAAAGAAAGAGAGAAAGGAAGAAAAGAGGAAAGGGAAGGGAAGAAGGAAACAGGTGTAAACAACAACAAAAATTTTTTTTTAATCAAAGAACACACCACCACTCAGACCCATGTGCAAAAGAACAGCATCAAGCATGATTGCCTCTGCAAATAGCTGACTCCAGAGAGTGCTGAATGGGAGTGGTACACATTAAATAAAGTCAGTCCAGGAGGGAGAACCTGAGCGTACTGTAGCTCTGAGTCTGGAGCTCAGAGGGGCAAGCGGAACTGTCCCAGGAACATGCGATTAGCAACACCCAGACTGTGGAACTCACCCCAAGCCAGAGCCCAGCTCTTTAACAGAGAGAGGGTAAGGAACAGAAACAGGTGGAGGGAGAACCTGTAGACCAGGGTTTCTCACCCTCGGCACTATTCACACTTGGGGCTGAATCGCTCTTTGTGGCTGGGCTGTCTCTGCATTGCCGGATGTTGAAAAGCATCCCTGGCCTCCATCTGCTCAATGAAAGCAGCACATACACATTCCCTGGAGTTGTGACAACCAAAAATGTCTCCAGACATGGCCAAATGTCCCCTGGGAGACAAAAACCACTGCTAGAGACCCAAACAAACAAACCCATTTATTTATTTCCAAGCCAAGGTCTTGCTCTGTCATGCAGGCTGCCGGGCAATGTGTGATCTCGGCTCACTGCAGCCTCAACCTTCCATGCCCAAGTGATCCTCCCATCTCAGCCTCCCAGGTAGCTGGGAATAGGTGCACAACACCATGCTCAGCTAATTTTTAATTGTATTTAGTAGAGATGGGGTCTCAGTATGTTACCCAGGCTGGTCTCCAGCAGGCGGTCAGCGGTCAGTAAATAACGCGGTGCTTTGCACACCGCATGCCAACATGACTAGGTGCCAGCACTGTAAAACCCATTCTGATCAGATCTTCAAATAGGAATGCTTTCATTCCCCAGGTGAGCCCTTGGAAACACTCCATAAAAAAGCCTATTAAACAGCCATTCTTTCTAGGCTGCAGTCCATAAGCCTTGGAGTCTTCATTAAAGATCCAAGACCTGGCCCGGCGCGGTGACTCACACCTATAATCCCAGCACCTGAGGTCGGGAGTTCAAGATCAGCCTGGCCAACATGGAGAAACCCCATCTCTACTAAAAATACAAAAATTAGCCAGGCGTGCTGGCATGCACCTGTAATCCTAGCACTCAGGAGGCTGAGGCAGGAGAATTGCTTGAACTCAGGAGGCAGAGGTTGTGGTGAGCCAAGATCATGCCACTGCACTCCAGCCTAGGTGACAGAGCAAGACTCCATCTCATAAAAAAAAAAAAAAAAAAGAATGAGCATATAAATCAGGTATGGTGGCTCACAACTGTAATCCCAACACTTCGGGAGGCCCGAGGTGGGAAGATTGCTTGAGTCTAAGAGTTCAAGACCAGCCTGGACAACATAGCAAAATCCCCATCTCTACAAAAATAAAAATAAAATAAAAATTAGCCGGGCATGGTGGTGCACACCTGTAGTCTTAGCTAATGGGGAGGCTGAAGTGAGAGGGTCACTTGAGGATAGGAGTTCTAGCCTGGGAAACAGCAAGACTTCATCTCTTAAAAAAAGAAAATCAAAAAAATTAGCTGGGCGTGGTGGTGTGCACCTTCCCCTCCCTTCCCTTTCCCCTTTCCCTCCCTTCCCTTTCCCCCTCCCTCCCTTCCCTTTCCCCCTCCCCTCCCCTCCCCTCCCCTCTCCTCCCCTCCCCTTCTCTTCCTGTAGTTCCAGCTACTGGAGAGGCTGAGACTGGAGGACTGCTTGAACCTAGAAGGCTGAGGCTGCAGTGAGCTGTGATCACACCACTGCACTGCAGACTGGACAACAAGCGAGATCCCATTTCAAAAACAAACAAATAAACAAAAACAGAGAGGGAAGACAGAGGATTTTTGTTTGATTCTCTCCTAGAGGAAGGAGATCGGATAAGGGCACAACTTTGAGACGCCAGCACACACATCCCCTCCCTTTACTGGGAAATGGACAGTTCTATCCAACACAGGCACATTCAGAGAGGCCTGGAATCCTGGCCCGATGTGCACTCCCTCCCTCGCTGCCGTCCCTGGGTACTCCCTGGGGCATTTCGGGTGTTCAGTCACAAAGAACAGATTTTCATTCTGACGGAGTCGGGTGACATGGGAAATACCTGGTCAATGAATATCATCAGGTAGGAGGGAGAAAAAGAAAAACTTGTCGGACCAGTTACCAAGTTAGCAGGCAGCCAACCAGGAGAGCAGAGAGAGCAGCCTTTCCATGACGGTGGATTTTAACTCCCCCAACCTTCCTCCCAAAAGGAGTGGGCCAAAAGGTTAAATTTCAATTGATATCCCTCAGCCTCCCACCCCCGCCCACCGGCTCCAGGAAGCCAGGCAACCGTGGGAATTGTAAATTTGTTATCTTCACCATTACAGATTTAGACAAAGTCATCTTCATCATCTTTGGGGCAGCAGAGTGACCACACGGCCAGCTGGTCTACCATCTTTCTGTGCAGCCTTGCACCCACCAAAGGGCTTTCTGCCCACTCAGCTTATACAAACTTAGAGTGAATTTTTTTCTTTTTTTGAGACAGGCGCCAGGCTGGAGTGCAGTGGCAAGATCTCGGCTCACCGCAACCTCCGCTTCCTGTGTTCAAGTGATTCTCCTGCCTCAGCCTCCTAACTGGGACTACAGGTGCATGCCACCATGCCCAGCTAATTTTTGTATTTTTTACTAGAGATGGGGTTTCACTGTTAGCCAGAATGGTCTCGATCTCTTGACCTTGTGATCTGCCTGCCTCGGCTTCCCAAAGTGCTGAGATGGCAGGTGTGAGCCACCGTACCCAGCTCTTAGAATTACTTTCACTTCCTCCCTGACTCAGCAGGGGCTCCAGGGCCCCAACAAAAAGCCTGGCTCAGCAAGGCTGTCCACTGAGTACTGGTGGAAAGAGCCCCTCCTAAACATGGCCCCATGTGAACTTCATGATGGCACTGGAGCATGTGATGACCCTGTGCTGGTCCCAGCCTCCCTTCCCGACATGAGCACCCTCTTTGCCTTCCCACACAATGCCCCTTGGCCTTGTCTGCCACTGCATCCACCTGAATATCCTCCAGTCTCACCCTCTCCCCTCCGCACCCCTTCCCAATGCACTCCTGCCTGCAGGACAGAGTTGAGACCTTTGTTATTAAAAAAAAAAAAAAAAATTCTAATCATCCAAGTAAAAATTGAATTACAATGACTATGGAATATTTTCAGCACAGTGCTTTTTTTTGATTCTCTCCTAGATTTTTTTTTTTTTATCTTTGACAACATAAAAGGAAAGAAAAATGAATGAGAAATTCAAGTGGGCCATCATTCATATAACGTGCCCCACCTTATTTATTTATTTATTTATTTATTTATTTATTTATTTATGTGTTTAAGACAGAGTCTCGCTCTGTCACTCAGGCTGGAGTGCGGTGGCGCAATCTCAGCTCACTGCAACCTCCGCCCCTTGGGTTAAAACAATTCTCCTGCCTCAGCCTCCTGCTGGGATTACAGGCACCCGCCATCATGCTTGGCTAATTTTTGTATTTGTTGTAGAGACGGGGTTTCACCATGTTGGCCAGGCTGGTCTTGAACTCCCAACCTCAGGTGATCTGCCTGCCTCGGCCTCCCAAAGTGCTGGGATGACAGGTGTGAGCCTCCGCGCCCGGCCTCCCCAACTTTATCTTTTTTGTTGTTGGATCCCCATGCGCAGGCGTTACACTTTCTTGTCTTCTTCATGGACTATAGTGACATTGACACAAGGAAATTTATCAGTTTCCTCTGTTATCTGGAGAACATCATGATTTTCAGGTGCTCTGCTCCGAAGGCATCTAGAAGCACCGGTTCATGACTCACTAGAAAGGGAAAGGCAGGGGCGGGAGGAGGGAGGAGGGCGGAGAGGGGCCTTGTATTGTACATTTACTGCACTCCCCCACCCAAACAGAGAGCTCCAAAAGGGGCAAGGGTGGCATCTGATGCCATGCATCCCCCTCCCCTCAGAACCAGCAAGGGGCAGCAGGGCTGCATCAGCCTGAGGCTGTGTGCCCGCAAGTTCCACTGCAACAGCTTCTCTCCCTGAATGCTGAATGTCCTGCTCATATAGAGAGAGACAGAGGCCCGCTCTGTCATCCAGGCTGGGGTGCAGCAGCGCAATCTCTGCTTACTGCAACCGAGATTCTCCTTTCTCAGCCTCTCGAGTAGCTAGGATCACAGGCACCTGCCACCATGCCTGGTGAATTTTTGTACTTTTTTTTTTTCCTGAGATGGAGTCTCGCTCTGTCGCCCAGGCTGGAGTACAGTGGTGCTATCTCGGCTCACTGCAACCTCCACCTCACAGGTTCAAGTGATTCTCCTGCCACAGCCAACCCCGCCCCCGCGCCCCCCCCCCCCCACCCCGCCCCAGAGTAGCTGGGATTACAGGTGCCTGCCACCACGCCTGGCTAATTTTTGTATTTTTAGTAGAGACAGGGTTTTGCCATGTTGGCCAGACTGGTGTTGAACTCCTGACCTCAGATGATCTGCCTACCTCGGCTTCCCAAAGTGCTGGGATTATAGGCATGAGCCACTGTGCCTGGTCCCTTTTTGTACTTTTTTTTAGTAGAGATGGCATTTCTTATTTTTTAATTTTTTTGTTTTTTGTTTTGTTTTGAGGCGGAGTTTCGCCCTTGTTACCCAGGCTGGAGTGCAATGGTGCGATCTCAGCTCACCGCATCCTCCGCCTCCTGGGTTCAGGCAATTCTCCTGCCTCAGCCTCCTGAGTAGCTGGGATTACAGGCACGCGCCACCATGCCCAGCTAATTTTTTGTATTTTTAGTAGAGACGGGGTTTCACCATGTTGACCAGGATGGTCTCGATCTCTTGACCTCGTGATCCACCCACCTCGGCCTCCCAAAGTGCTGGGATTACAGGCTTGAGCCACCGCGCCCGGCGAGATAGCATTTCTTGGTGTTGGACAGGCTGACCTCGAACTCCTCGTCTCAAGTAATCGCCCTGCTTCGGCCTCCCAAGGTGCTGGAATTACAGGCATGAGCCACTGTGCCCAGCCAAAAATGTGAAAAAAGCATTCTTAAGCCGAGCAAGCGCAAGCACAGTGGCTCACGCCTATAGTCCCAGCACTCTGGGAGACCAAGGCAGGAGGATTGCTTGAGCCCAGTTGTTTGAGACCAGCCTGGACAACACATTGAGATTCTATCTCTACCAAAAAAATAAAAAGAAACTAGCTGGGCATGGTGGTGCAAGCCTGTGGCTCCACCTACTCAGGAGGCTGGGGTTGCAGTGACCTATGATCACCCCACTGCACTCCAGCCTGGGCGACAGAGTGAGACCCCATCTCTAAAAATAAAATTAAAATTAAAAATTCTTAGCTCAGAGATCATACAAAAACAGCAGCTGGCGGACTGGATTTGGCCCAAGGGTCATAGTTTGCTGATCTGTGGGCAAAGGCCTTATGTCAGACAAGTCTGAAGTCAAACCCTTCCTGAGCTTGGTCTCCTGGAGCAAGTCTCTTCAGTCCTAGCCATGCCTCCATTCCCTGTTCTGAAAAATGAGGATAACAAACCCTTATAGGCTGTGGTGGGATCCCCTAAGGCATTGCTTAGCACATAGTAAGTGTTCAATAAACACTAGCTACTGATAGGCATTAAGGATGTCATTGTTTGTCAACTGTGAGCCAGGTGCCATGACAGGTGCTTGGAATATACCAAGTCCCTGCCTTCGGGGTAGCTTTGGCTGACCGGAGAGGCAGCTGAGTCCAGACAGGATGAGAAGGCTGATAAGAAGAGGCAGGGGCAAATTCTGTATTTCCTCTGGTTTCCTTTCCTTCTTTCCTCCCTTTCTTCCCTCCTTCCTTCCTTCTTTCCTTTCCTTTCCTCCTTCTTTCCTTTCCTTCCCTCCTTCTTTCCTTTTCTTCCCTCCTTCCTTCCTTTCTTTCCTCTTTCCCTCCCTCCTTCCCTCCTTTCTTCTCTTTTCTTCCTTTCCTTTCCTTCCTTCTCTCCTTTCTTTTCTTTCTTCCCTCTTTCCTTCTTTCCCTCTTTCCTTCTTCCTTTCTTTTTGTTCCTCCCTCCTTCTTTCTCTCCTTCCCTCCTTTCTTTCCTCTTTTCTTCCTTTCCTTTCCTTTCTTCCCTCCTTCCTTCCCCCTTTCTTTTCTTCCCTCCTTCCTCCCTTCCCTCCCTCCTTCCTTCCTTCCTTTCTTTTTACAGCTTCCTACATTCCACCAACTTCCCACAATGATATCCATAAAACACAATGACAGGGAGCTTAGATGCTGAACGAAAATCCCTAGGTTCAAATCCCATCTCCACTACTTACTACCCATGTGTGTGTGGGAGCGAAGCGGTGTGGGGATGGGGAAGTTGCTTAATCTCTCGAAGCCTTAGTAACCTCAACCATAAAGAAGATTGTTGGGAAGATTGGATGCAGTATCCCAATCAGAGCACTTAGAACCACAGCTGACATGAAATCAGCATTTGCTGCAAGGACAGTTTCGATTGGCCCAGCGTGGTAGCTCATACCTGTAATCCCAGCACTTTGGGAGGCCAAGACAGGCAGACAACTTGAGGCCAGGAGTTCGAGACCAGCCTAGGCAACATGGCGAAACCCTAGCTCTACTAAAAATACAAAAACTAGCCTGGCATGGTGGCACATGCCTGTAATCCCAGCTATTTGGGAGGCTGAGGCAGGAGAATCTCTTGAACCCGAGTGGTGGAGGTTGCAGTGAACTGAGATCATACCACTCCCCTTTGGCCTGGGTGACAGGCCGAGACTCTATATAAAAGAAAGAAAAAAATCAAGGCAAGTCCAGCATGGTGACTCACACCTGTAATCCCAGCACTTAAAAGAGAGGCTGAGATGGAGGATTCCCTTGGGCCCAGGAGTTTGAGATCGGCCTGGGCAACATAGCAAGACTCCCATCTCAATTAAAAAGAAATAAAAACTAAATATAAATGAAAAAAATAAAAATAAAATATCAAGGCAAACTTTTTAAGTGGAAGAAGAAAAAGAAGCAGAGACTTTCCATAGGCAGCTAAAAATTCTGCCAAAAGTCAAACCCTACAAGAGCATGCATTTAGACTCATGCATTTCAATACATGACATTTAACGTGGTAGGCAGAATACCACACTTTCAGAGACTCGAAGCTGTAATCTCAGACGCGGGAGGAGGGGTTTTCTGCTTTCAGCCTCCTCCTCCTGCTATGGTGCCGACGTCCATATGTGGCATCTCAGGCTGGTTTCCCCTGGCACCCAGCATGTCCCGGCCTCACCCACCCCTCGGATCAGCAGTGAGCAGCTGGGGTGACCTCCCAGAAAGAAAATGCCAGTGGCTTTGGCTAAAGCAGCTAGTCAGTCAAGCCATGTGGCTTTGGGTCCCCTCAAAATGCCCAGAGCTGAGAATTTCCAGAGCATCACATGCTGTTGGCACCTGAAAATCAGGGTGGTCTTTCATCTGGGACAGCCACCCCTCATTGGCAGGGTCACAAGATACACGTTCTTCTGCCTGCCTCAAGGCCAAAGTCAGAAATGAGGCTGAACCCTGGAAAATACTCACCTGGAAGCCGATCTGCCCAGATAGGGTGGGCCCATGGTACTTACTTACTGGAAACTTTCAGAACACTCACGGAGCACCTAAGGCTGGGTTAAGTGCCTCCTCCTGCACCATCTCATTTAACCCCCAAACCACCACACTCTATCCCCAGGCTGCAGTGGAGTGGTACAACCTCAGCTCCCTGAAACCTCCATCCCCGGGCTCAAGCGATCCTCCCACCTCAGCCTTCCAAGTAGCTAGGGTCATAGGCACCTGCCACCATGCCTGGACTAATTTTTGTATTTTTTTCATGGTTTGTCATTTTTGTATTTTTTCATTGTATCTCCAGGTTGCCCAGGCTGGTCTTGAACTCCTGAGCTCAAGGAATCTGCCCTCCTTGGCCTCCTAACGTGCTGGGATTACAGGCATGAGCCACCATGCCTGGCTGGCTGAACCAATATCCATCTCCCTCTAACTCTTCCCCTCCTGAGTGTACTTGGTTTTATGGTCAACATCTGCATTTGCCACTAGACTGGCCACTCTGAGGAGGCAAAGGCTGGCTCCCTTCCTATGCCCCGAGTTCCCCAGAACATGACCTAGTAGGCAGTCAGTACACAGACCCTGTCTCCACTCTTCCCATTCAGAGCTTCTTCTGGTAACTTCCCCCCAAATCCACAGCAGGATAATGGAGAGAGTGAGTCCGGCTATGGATCATTAGCACATGCCACGGTGGTTTGTTGTTGCTTTTTCTTTTAATTCCCTTAACTATTTTTTTTTTAAACGGAGTTTCACTCTGTTGCCCGAGCTGGAGTCCAATGACATGATCTTAACTCACTGCAACCTCTGCCTCCTGGGCTCAAGCAATTCTCCTGCCTCAGCCTCCTGAGTAGCTGGGATTACAGGCACCAACCACCATGCCTGGCTAAATGTTTGTATTTTTAGTAGAGACAGTGTTTCACTATGTGGGCCAGGCTTGTCTTGAACTCCTGACCTCACGTGATCCGCCCACCTCAGCCTCCCAAAGTGCTGGGATTACGGGACTGAGCCACCGCACCCGGCCCCCTAACCACTGAAAGCCTTCCTTTGGTCTTTCTGCAGAAAACATCATTGCTTAAGGGACAGGTAGAAGAAGGCGTGGACTTTTCACAGAATTGCTTAAACTAGGTCCAAAGGACAAACAAGTACCTTCATCCTAGATGTTACCCATTCCCCTGATGCTTCCAGAAGCTGCCAAGTGTGGAAGAAAAAACTGACGACCACAGATGTTCACAGAAGTGTCCGAGAAGATTCTGGGGAAAAAGAGGGGTTGATGGATAGCTTTCTCCAGCCTATGTCTGCCCCTAAGACAGAGGAGTATCCTCTGGAGGTTCAATCTATTCTGCATTCAAAAATCCCATCAGACATTAAATAATGTCCGGGTGCAGTGGCTCATGCCTGTAATCCCAGCACTTTGGGAGGCCAAGGCAGATAGATCATCTAAGGGCAGGAGTTTAAGATCAGCCTGGTCGACATGGTAAAATCCCATCTCTATTAAAAACACAAAAATTAGCCAGGCGTGGTGGCAGATGTCTGTAATCACAGCTACTCAGGAGGCTGAGGCAGGAGAATGGCTTGAACCCAGGACGCAAAGTTTGCAGTGAGCTGAGATCGCACCACTGCACTCCAGCCTGGGCGACAAGAGCTAAACTCCATCTCAATAAATAAATAAATAAGCCTCCAAAAGTCTCAGCAACAAAGTTAATGCAGGCGTTGAATGGCTGCAAGTGTAGGGCCAGGCACGGTGGCTCCCACCTGTAATCCCAGCACTTTGGGAGGCCGAGGCAGGTGGATCACCTGAGGTCAGGAGTTCAAAACCAGCCTGGCCAACATGGTGAAAACCCGTCTTTACTAAAAATTAAGAAACACAATAGCTGGGTGTGGTGGCAGGCACCTGTAATCCCAGCTACTTGGAAGGCTGAAGCAGGAGAATTGCTTGAACCGAGGAGGCGGAGGTTGCAGTGAGCTCAGATTGTGTCATTTCACTCCAGCCTGGGTGACAAGAGCAAAACTCCGTCTCAAGAAATAAATAAATAAATAAATAAGCCTCCGAAAGCCTCAGCAACAAGGTGAATGCAGGCATTGAAAAGCTACAAATGTAAACGGGTATTCACAGCACTGTGATTCACGGTAGCGGAAATGTGGAAGCAGCCCAATGCCGGTGGATGGATGAATGAACACGCAGAATGTGCTCCCTCCATACAATGGAATATGACTCAGCCTGAAAAAGGAAAGAGTGTCTGACACAGGCTTCCACGAGGATGAACCTTGAGGACATCAGGCTCAGTGAAATAAGCCAGGCACAAAAGGACAAATCCTGTCTGATTCCACTCACAGGAGGTCCCCAGAGTCATCACATTCATAGAGTCAGGAAGTGGGATGGTGGGTGCCAGGGGCTGGGAGAGGGAGATAGGGAGTGAGTGTTTCATGGGGACAGAGTTTCGGTTTGGGAGGATGAGAACATTTGGGAGATGGTGGTGGCCATGGCTACATGATCATGCTTAAGGCCACTGAACTGTGCACTTAAAATGGTTGAGATGAGGCTGGGCACAGTGGCTCACACCTGGAATCCCAGCACTTTGTGAGGCCAAGGTGGGTGTATCGCTTGAGGCCAGGAGCTTGAGATCAGCCTGGCCAACATGGCAAAGCCCCCTCTCTCCTAAAAGTACAAAAATTAGCCAGGCATGGTGGCTAGCACCTGTAGTCCCAGCCACAGGGGAGACTGAGGCAGGAGAATCACTTGAATCCAGGAGGCGGAGGTTGCAGTGAGCCGAGATTGCACCACTGCCTTCCAACCCAGGTGACAGAGCAAGATTCCATCTCAAAAAAAAAAAAAGTTAAGATGGCAAATATTATGCTATGTGTATTTTACAATAAAAGAAACTGAAGAGGGGAAAGAAAGCTGAAGCTCTCCAAAGACAGGGGCAACAGTTCAAAAAACAAGCATTTCTTGACCGGGCATGATGGCTCACACCTATAATCTCAGCACTTTCAGAGGCTGAGGTGGTTGGATCACCTGAGGTCAGGAGTTTGAGACCAGCCTGACCCACGTGGTGAAACCCTGTCTCTACTAAAAATACAAAAATTAGCTGGCTGTGATGTAATGCTTGTAATCCCAGCTACTGGGGAGGCTGAGGCAGGAGAATCGCTTGAACCTGGGAGGCGGAGGTTGCAGGGAGCCAAGATTGCACCATTACACTCCAGCCTGGCGACAGAGTGAGAATCCGTCTCATAAATAAATAAAATGAACACAATCATTTCTTGAAATTATTATCAGGACATGGCAGGCCCCCTGGGGATACTACTACTAATGGTGGCTGAAATATATACCAAATGCCAGGAACCGGGACCCCAGGAAGTGTTAGTTGAACCTTCCCTGGGTGACAAAACCCCCAGTACTGGAAAAACAAGCCCTTTTTTGTTTTATGTTCAGTTTTGTTTTCTTTTTCTTTTGTTTTTGAGATAGTGTCTCGCTTTGTCGCCCAGGCTGGAGCCCAGTGGCACAAACAGCTCAGTGCAGCCTCAACCTCCCAGACACAAGAAGCCTGGTTCCTAACAGCAAAAAGATGTTGAATTCACTGGAAACATCAGGCACAACCAGGCACGGTGGCCGACACGTGAAATCGCAGCACTTTGGGAGGCCAAGGTGGAAGGATTACTTGAGCTCAGAAGTTCAAGACCAGCCTGGCCAACATGGCCAAATCCTGTCTCTACGACATATACAAAACTTAGCTGGCTGTTGGCTGAGTGAGGTAGCTCACACCTGTAATCCCAGCGCTTTCGGAGCCAAGGCAGGTGGATCATCTGAGGTAATGAGTTCAAGACCAGCCTGACCAACATGGTGAAACCCTGTCTCTACTAAAAATACAAAAATTAGCTGGGCGTGGTGGTGTGCACCTGTAATCCCAGCTACTTGGAGGCTGAGACAGGAGAACTGCTTGAATCCGGGAAGCGGAGGTTACAGGGAGCCGGGATCGAGCCACTGCACTCCAGCCTGAATGACAAGAGTAAAACTCCGTCTCCAAAAGAAAAAGTAATTAAAATGTAAAATGTAGAGAAAAAATTCTTTCACGGGTGGAAAAAGACTTTCTAAGTGCAAAGTACAGAAGTGGCACACAGAAATCCAGCTCTGAACTCCATAAACATGTTAAGCTTCTCCAGCAAAACACATCCCAGGCTATTTTAACCACGGAGCAACAACAACAAAATTCAATTGGCAAAGGGTTAGCAGCAGTCATTGATGAAACCACATAGAGATTAATTTTGCAGAAGCTGCTGAGGTACTAAAAGATAAACGCACAAAGGATATGAACAGGAAGAGAAAACCCAAATGATAAATAAATGTTTAAAAGGTTTAACCCCGATAGCAGTCAAAGAAATGCAAATAGAAACAATGACAACACGTCAGCTCCTCCCTCCCACAGTCAATATGAAAGATTTTTCAAATAACACTCAAAGGCTGGCCAAGGTGCTCCCTCTCGTCCAAAGCTAGGAGGAGAGGCCATTGGTAAAACATTTCCGGAACACCATTTGGCACTCTGCACCAAGAGCCTCTGACCCAGAAATTTCACTTCTGGAAAGCAAGCCTAAAGAAACAACTGCTGGATAAAGCTTCCACTCCAAAATGTTCATCACTCTCTTTGTGAAAACTATAAATCATCTTTTTTGTTTTTTTGGGTTTTTTTTGAGACGGAGTTTCACTTTTGTCACCCAGGCTGGAGTGTGGTGATGCGATCTCAGCTCACCGAAATCTCTGCCTACCGGGTTCAAGTGATTCTCCTGCCTCAGCCTCCCAAGTAGCTGGGACTACAGGCACACACCACCATGCCCAGCTAATTTTGTATTTTTAGTAAAGACAAGGTTTATCCATGTCAGTCAGGCTGGTCTTGAACTCCTGACCTCAGGTGATCCACCTGCCTTAGCCTCCCAAAATGTTGGGATAACAGGCATGAGCCACCGCACTCGGTCTGGAAATCATCTTTATCCCCAGTAACAGAAATGGTTAAGGAAACCTTTACTAGACACAACAGATTCTTGAAGACCACTAGAAAGAACAAGCCCCGATAAACTCGCAGTGACATGCATTGTGGAACAAGATGAATGTTTTGCTTTTCTTTTCCTTTACACATTTCTTTCTCCAAATGTTAAGAACTAAACTACATTTTTAAAAAACCAAATCTATTGTTTCTAACTCCTTTTTCTCTCCCAAGCAAGAAAAACATTCACTGTCTGGCACAGGAGGGGGCGAACTGCAGTCCTCGGGCGAAATCCAGCCCACATTTATTTTGTAAATAAAGTTTTATTGAAACACAGCCATACTCACACGTTTATGCATGCCTGTGGCTGCTTGCTTGCCACTACAATGCAGAATTGAGTCGTTGCAACAGAGACCACATGGCCTGCAAAATCTAAAGTATCTACTATCTGAGTCTTTACAGAAAAAGTCTGCCACTCCCTGGGCTAGTGAATGCCACCACTCACTGTCCCCTGTCCCCTACCTAATGGCCATTTAACTTCTTAAGCTTAAAATATTTGATAAATCTTTTAAGGTTTCTAGAAGAACAAACATGAGATACTGCTTAGAGCCCTGTATCCCCAGCATACCTTTCTGACAGTGACTGTGAGTCCAGCACCGTTCGACAAACTGCCCGTTGATGACGGTGGCGGGGCAGTTGGTCTTGCCCTTCGAGGTACCTGGACAGATGTCTCCACACTCCTCGTTGTCATCTTTGTTCAACACGATGTAATTGTCCTCCACGGAATCCAGGATACGGGACCAGTCAATAGTGGCCAAGTAGCAGAGCTCATTGTTCTTCTCAATCCGGACGGAACCCCGGGTGATGTTCATCAGGCTGTAGAGGCCGAGTTCCTTGAGGTGAACCATCTCGAAGACGACCAGCGCATAGTTGAAGAACAGTCTCGATCCCCGGATGACGGTGAGGTTGGGGAACAGGTCTTTCAGGCTCTCGAGCCCATAGACCCGGAAGAGCAGCAAGTAATCAGTGATCATGATGAGTTTGGGAAAACTGAGGTCTCGGAAATCTTCGGGCCTCGTTTTGAACATCAAGAGTATCTGTAAGTGTCCTTCGATGACAGAGCAATTCTCCAGCTCATGCAGCCTGCTGAGGTTGTTCCGGATGTCCATGCCGGGGCACACTAGGAGAGAAAATGAGTGGGAAACGAGAGGTGAGTGGATGCATGGTGGATGCCTCAGAAGGATCAGGATCAGGGGCAGAGCTGGCTTCATGGGCATGAAACCTGGGCCCTGTGTTTTCATCCTGGGCCCGGTGCACTCTGCAGCCAGCTGGGATGAGTGACTTTCTCTGTAAAGTCCCCATGCCTAAGTAATTACTTTCAAAAGGCAAAGAAAATAATTCTTTTGGCAAGACCTGTTAAAATCCTTAAAACCATCACCTCTGAAATGATGCAATCGTGACAATAGGATTACAGGAGATTGGGTAATACAGCAGGTGCAGAAGGCGAAAGGGGAACTGTCTCCAGTGCGCCAACACCGAAGACATTCAGGAGATGATTTATGGGGATAAAGGTGCCCGCGTCAGAAATATGGCAAGGAAAGCCGAATGTATTTGTTTTGTCAATCCTCCCACCTCGCTGGCTGACTTTCCTTCCCAGACAGCTCTCCTGGCCTGCAATCAAGACCTAATTACCTTTCACCTGGGTGTGGTGTGCTCACACTCTCCAGGGAGTCTGATCTCCATTGCACAATGCCCTGCGTTCTCATTCTCCTGAAGGCGGTCCGTCCCAGGCTCCAACACCCTCCATGGCTCCCCATCACCCTAAGCTCCCCTCAAGATTCCACCCTGCACCCCACAAAACAAGCCTGCCCACCACTCTTGCACAACTCCAAGACTCCTATCTTCCTCTGTAACATGGCTTATATAGAGGAAGTGAAATAATTCAGGGCAAGCACTCAAACAGTGCCTGAAATATAGTAAGTGCTACATTAATCTCAGCTATTTTGTTCTTTCTTATTGCTGTTGCTATTGTTTATTCTCCTGAACATACCACAGTCATCCCTAGGCATCTGTAGGCTAGTCTATCTTTTGGCTGGCAAAGTGCTTTGTACCTTAGCTCCTTATTTCTAAATCCAGCCCAACATGCTTCAAGATATCCAGTGCAAATGATGCCTCCTTCTCCAAGTAGTCTTCCCTGATTTCCTTTCCTTGGCACACCTATTTGGGTATTTCTTCTCTTTGTATTCCTTACACTTGAGTTAACATTTTTCAGAATCAAACTCTTTAGATGGCTTCTCTCCACAGATACACACACACACCCCACATCCCCAACACACATAGCACCTAGAATATAAGGCTCAGACAACCCCTGCTTATTTTGTTCCAAAACACTAAACCTTCCACAAATATCTTTGAGAAAAACAGATTGTTCTAAAGAAGAACAGTAAATTTTCTTACAAAAGAAAAAACAAAAACTCCACCCTGAGAATGACCCGCAAAAGAAGCACAAATTAAAAAACTAACAAACAAACAAAACAGCAAAAGCAAACAAATGGGAAAAACAAAGTAGCAATGACACTGGATCGCATTCCACGCAGCGAGTGAATTAGGCTAAGCCAAGAACACACACACACACACACTCTGCAGGTAAAAAGAACACTTGTCCACCATCCTCCCCAGGCTATGGCAGAACCAAAATCAGACACGAATATGCATTCAAAGGTTAACTAGGGCGAAGCACAGTGGCTCACCCCTGTAATCCCAGCAGTTTGGGAGACCACTGTGGAAGAATCAATTGAAGCCAGGAGTTCAAAGCCAGCCTGGGCAACATAGCAAGACCCCATCTCTATAAATCAATCAATCAATCAATCAATATCCCAGCATGGTGGCATGTGCCTGTAGTCCCAGCTACTTGGGAGGCTGAGATAGGAGGATTGCTTGGGTCCAGGAATACGAGGTTATACTGAGCTGTGATCAAACCATTGCACTCCAGCCTGGGCAGCACAGTGAGACCTCGTGTCAATTAAAAAAACAACAACAAAGCTTAACTGGCTATTGGACATCAGGGAAATACAAATTCAAATCACAATGAGATACCACTTCATTCCCTCTAGGATGACTAAAACCGAAAAGACTGACAATTACAAGTGCAAATAATATAGAGAAATGGGCCAGCCACTGTGGCTCATGCCTGTAATCTCAGCCCTTTGGGAGGCCAAGGCAGCAGACCACCTGAGGTCAGGAGTTCCAGACCAGCCTGGCCAACATGGAGAAACCCCGTCTCTACTAAAAACACAAAAACAACTAGCTGGGCGTGATGGCAGGTGCCTGTAGTCTCAGATACTTGGGAGTCTGAGGCAGGAGAATCACTTGAACCTGGGAGGCAGAGGTTGCAGTGAGCTAAGATCACTGCACTCCAGCCAGGGTGACAGAGGAAGACTCCATCTCAATGAATAAAAAAAAAAATGTAGAGAAATTAGTATCCTTTTGCATTCCTGACGGGATGTAAAACAGTGCAGCCACTGTGGAAAACACTCGTAGTTCCTCAAAATACTAAACCAAGAGTTGCCACAGGGCCCAGCAATTCCACTGCTAGGTAACCACCTAAGAGAAATGACACAATATGTCCACATAAAGATGTGTACACAAATGTCTATAGCAGCATTATTCATAATAGCTGAGGCTGAGTGCAGTGGTTCATACCTGTAATCCTAGCACTTTGAGAGGTAGAGATGGAAGGAGTCCTTGAGCCCAGGTGGGGCAACATAGTGAGACCCCATCTCTACAAAAATTAAAACATTAGTGGGGCATGCTGGTGCGTGTCTCTGGTCCCAGCTATATGGGAGGCTGAGGCAGGAGAATCGTTTGAGTCTAGGAGGTCGTGATGCTGAGCTCCAGCCTGGGTAGCAGAGCAAGATCTTGTCTCAAAAGTAAATACAGGCTGAGCATGGTGACTCATGCTTGTCATCCCAGCACCTTGGGAGGCCAAGGCGGACGGACCACCTGAGTTCAGAAGTTTGAGACCATCCTGGCTAACATGGAGAAACCCTGTCCCTACTAAAAATAAAAATACAATAAATAAAATAAAAATAGCTGGGCACATGAGGCAGGAGAATTGCTTGAACCAGGGAGTCGGAGGTTGCAGTGAACCAAGATCGCGCTGCTGCACTCCAGCCAGACAATAGAGAGAGACTCTGTCTCAAAAACATAAAATAAAGCAAAATACAATAAATGCAAGGCCGGCCATAGTGGTTCACACCTATAATCCCAGCACTCTAGGAGGCCAAGGTGGATGGATCACCTGAGCTCAGGAGTTTGAGACCAGCCTGGCCAACATAGTGAAACCCTGTCCCTACTAAAAATACAAAAAATTAGCTGGGTATGGTGACATGTGCCTGTAACCTGAGCTACTCGGGAGGCTGAGCCACGAGAATCACTTGAACCGAGAATAACTTGAACCCAGGAGGCCAAGATTGCAGTGAGCTGAGATGGCACCACTGCACTCCAGCCTGGGTGACAGAGTGAAACTCCATCTCAAAACAAACAAACAAACAAAAACCTATGCCTCCAGTGTAGCTGGAACCACAGACACCCACCACCATGCCTGGCCAATTTAATTTTTTTTTGTAGAGATAGTGGTCTTGCTGTGTCGCCCAGCCTGCTCTCAAGCGATCCTCCAGTCTTGGCCTCCAAAGTGCTGGGATTCCAGGTATGAACCTTCACCATCAAAGAAGCCAGACAGAGAAGGCGACATGCCGTGCAACTCCATTCATACAAAAAAATCCAGAAGAGGCAAATCCATAGTGACAGAGAATAGATTTGTGGTTGTCAAGAGCTGGGGAGACAGGGGAGATGGGAAGGGGTAGCTGAAAGGTACAGGGTTTCTCTGAGGACGACGTAAATGTTCTAAAACTGACTGTGGTCCTGGTTGCGCAACTCCAGTAAATATCCTGACAGCCACCTAACTGCACAGTTAAAATGGGTGACTTGTATGTCCTGTGAATTCTAACTCAGTAAAATCGTTATGAGTAGAGATTAAGCAGCTCTAATTGGAGGGGACAATAAAGAATTGTTCTTCTTTTTAAATCTCCTATGAATCAAACTCTTAATTCATTAAAGCCATATGTGTCCCTAGTAGGGAAAGACAATAGAGCAATTTACCACCGGGACAGCATATACCCAGAGGATATCAGAAATGACGCAGAAATAGATGCAAGCACTTCTCCTGGCTTTTAGTGTCTCTGAGTGGGAGGTGAAGGCTGCTTCAAGTGCTTCATAAGGGGTGCCTGGCTAATAGCCACTCTATCCACAGGTAGAGAAAGGCAATGAGGAAGAGGATGCTAGTGGTAGCTAATTTTTTCCCCCTTTAATTGAGACTGACTCTCGCTCTGTCCCTCAGGTTGGAATGCAGTGGTGCGATCTTGGCTCACTGCAACCTCCACTTCCCAGTTTCAAGTGATTCTCTTGCCTCCGTCTCCCGAGTGGCTGGGACTACAGGCACCGCACATGCCTGGCTAATTTTTGTATTTTTAGTAGAGATGGGGTTTCACCATGTTGGCCAAGCTGGTCTCAAACTCCGACCTCAGGTGATCCATCCACCTCAGCCTCCTAAAGTGCTGGGACTAGAGGCACATGCCACCATGCTGGGCTAATTTTTGTATTTTTAGTAGAGATGGGGATTCACCATGTTGGCCAGGCTGGTCTTGAACTCTGACCTCAGGTGATCCATCCACCTCAGCCTCCCAAAATGCTGGGACTACAGGCACATGCCACCATGCTGGCTAATTTTTGTATTTTTAGTAGTGATGGGGTTTCACCATATTGGTCAGGCTGATCTCAAACTCCTGACCTCAAGTGATCTACCTCCCCTGGCCTCTCAAAACGTTGGGGTTACAGGCATGAGCCACCACACCCAGCCTCTTCTCTTCTTCTTTTTTTTTAATTGCATTTTAGGTTTTGGGGTACATGTGAAGAACATGCAAGTTTGTTGCATAGGTACACACATGGCAGTGTGATTTGCTGCCTTCCTCCCCATCACCTATATCTGGCATTTCTCCCCATGCTATCTCTCCCCAGCTCCCCACCCTCCTCTGTCCCTCCCCTATTTCCCCCCAACAGACCCCAGTGTGTGGTGCTCCCCTCTCTGTGTCCATGTGTTCTCATTGTTCAACACCCGCCTAT